TTGAGCACATCGAGGACATCCTATATACAAGTTTTCAGCCCATTCTGACATCTCGAATTATTTGAAAAATGTTCAAAGGGGTTAACTTTCTTTCATTTTCAGACCAAAAAATGAACTTTGTCGTAGAGCCTTCAAACTTGGTATACAGGGTCCTCAATGGATGCCTTAGTGCGGAGTAGAAGCACAGCGCTCTAGATTTTCTAATAAGAAAGAAGCAATTTTTGACCAGCTTTTCTTTTTTTGCGGTACCTTTGTTGTAAAATGGCTCGATCTAGTACCTCAATTCGCTCTGGAGATAGAAGCCATGAGAACTACTGAATTTTTGGCAGAACTGAATTCATCTACGTATTTTGCCCACGAAAAGAAATTATTGGTCATCATTTCAGCGATTTTTCAGGTAATTTTTCCGATTTTAAATGCGAATATCTCAGGAACCGAGTGAGAAAAATATCATCATCACACCTTAATACTGTCTGTAGATGAATCGAGGAGGTGTTACATTCATTTTACTTGATTATTTGGGATTTTCTCTCCCCGTTTTTACAAAATAAAAATATGAGAAAAAAGTACTTCAATTGCTTGAAAAAAATTAATGATGATGAAACATTTCTGCTGCTTGGATTCAGTGTGCCAATTTCAATTGACATTTTTAATATTTTTTAGAAATTAATTAAATAAAGTTACTGACTCGTATAAAATAATATATTTTTTTATATTTATGTACAATATAAAATATAGCATCTATATACACAATAAAATCAAATATATAATATAATAACTAAGATTGGCAATAGCCTAAATTCAATTAAATTCATTATTTACTTATAAAATTTAAAATTATGAGCACTTGAAAAAATTTCATTCTATACATAAATTAATCGTGGGACATTCCATTAGATAAAAACAATTACAGTTCACAGTGCACAATACAGGACCAAAAAAAATTATACAGTACAAGTCAAAAACCTTTTTCAAATTATTCCATAGATCAAATTACTATTTAATGTGAAGACTAAAAAAACTGTGACCAACAACTTGAAACATGTTGAGTCAGAATACATTTTAGTGTTTCTAGGGTTGAAATAATCACATTTTCACTATATCATCAGTTGCAAAATTCATCATTGTTTATGTCATGACAATAAAATTGAACAACTGAATAGTTATAGTAGAAAAGCCAATACAATGAAAATGTAATTATCAGGTGGGAAAAATAATAACTTATCCTCGTAGGACGTACACTTCATAAATTTGATATACAATATTAACATTTCAGTCTGAGATTTCAACAATTTTTGAGTTGAAATTTTTTATTATAATCCATTTTAATTGAAAGGAATGTCAAGGGAAAATTGCAGTCTATAATAATTGGAATGTATAATATCTCCATATCTGAAAATTCGAATATAACTTATATAGGATGTAAATGGCAACTATGCAAAAATAAAAAACGCCCCAAAAGTTCACATCCCCATCTCGATTAAAAAAATTACTATCAAGAGTTGCATTTAAAGAACCCATACAAATGTTACCATCAGTGTTTTGTTTTATACATACAGGGTGGCCAAAACCAGATTACGAAACCTTTGAAAACGAGGCTCTGTAGGTCGCCAAAACCGGATTATGAAAAAAAAATCTGAAACACGTCAAGTACATTTTCGAGGGGGACATCGTTCTAAAATATTTTCAGCCCTGCGGCGTTGCCGCTTCTAACGAAAAGAAGCAACAACTTTGTTATTTCAAATGGAACACCTATTGTATTTCATTGCATCTTTAGATTCTCCTCGAGAAGCTGATTTCATCAATGCATCACACTTGGGGTCTAGCTGGAATGATTTTAGGGATATAGGGCGTTCAAAATCGAAATTTTTCAACTTTACGATTTTTTGTGTCGAAACTATTCATTATTGGTCAAAACGGCTTTCATGTTCTTATCTAAATTTTTGATTTACTATCTACTGACATTTGATAATTGGAAAAGATACAGGGTGATCAAAATTCTGAATCTTGAACCACCATGTAATTGTTTCAATCAGATATCAGTAGACAGTAAGTCAGAAGTTGAGATAGGGACATGAAAGCCGTTTTGACCAATAATGAATAGTTTCGACACAAAAAAATGCTGAAAAAGTTGAAAAATCTCGATTTTGAACACTTTATATCCCTAAAACCATTTCAGCTAGACCCCAAGTGTGATGCATTGATGAAATCAGCTCTTCGGGGAGAATCCAAAAATGCAATGAAATACAAGGTGTTCTATTTGAAATAACAAAGTTGTTGCTTCTTTTCGTTAGAAGCGACAACGCCGCAGGGCTGAAAATATTTTAGAACGATGTCCCCCTCGAAAATGTAGTTGACGTGTTCCAGAGTTTTTTCATAATCCAGTTTTGGCGACCTACAGAGCCTCTGTTTCGTTTTCAAAGGGCCACCATGTATAGTTTTTTCTTTAACTACTGTATTGAGAACTTTGTATCACATTGACTGAATTTGGAAACTAAAAGAATTGCCATTTATATCACATTCAGTTAAAAACGTTAATATTAGACAAAATAATTATTGTGGGTATAAATAATGTATGGAAGTTTGTGAGGAAAAACGTATTCCTTCTGTACATTACAATTTCCAAAAAAATGTTATACAATGGTTTATATTAAATGTGCCATTTACACCCTATTATTGCAATGGACATAAAATATACAATATTTACACAAACATCTTACATATTCTCACTCTCAGTTGTCAATTGTAACAATTTAAGTTAAAATGTGTAAAATAGCACATGAAAAACAAAACAGCATATCAATAAAAGAGGTCAGAAAGAAAACTGTTCCAGAGTTAAAGCATCTCTTGAATCCCTACATGGTTCCTTCTATATTATATCGAAGCAAACTGGAAAAATCAGATTTTCGAGAAGAAGGTATTGCAACCATGTAATTGAGCTTTTTCTACCTTGAACGAGAGAGAGGAAAATTCTCTCCTCTTCCACCCTTCTCTTCAATGCTACCAACCAGGCCGCATTGAAATATAGAGAGGTCCGATGAAACTTTCCTTGTCTAACCTCTTATTGTCTGCGCCACTGAACTATTTTCGATGTTATTCGCGATAGAAAATAACACGTCACTACACCTGCCGGTAACAACTTGAACTCTGAGCGGTTCGTTTTGATGATGTGACCAATAAGCACGAACAAAACACGAATGTGAACCAATGAAAGCAAAGTAAACCTGTTGCTTTGACAGCTTTCAACAACTCCTATAGATGGCGTACGCTTATTTTCTATCGCGAATAATGATATTGTTTCCTTCAGAACTGACATATTTCACTTAGACTGAACTGAATCAGTTGACATGCATTCTAGCTAATCAAATTCTATCGAAAGAACACATAATAACTGATTCGGTTCAGTTAGTTTAGATGATACAGATGATATATGTCTGTCAGAAATGTCATTGACTGATAACCTTTCAAATTTTTGAAATAAAATTACAGATTATATCATACTTATTTAGACATCTTTTGTTAATATCATTAATTTGACACTCTAATGATTTCAAAAATATTTCAGTGGCTCAAACTAGATGTTAGACAAGGAGATATGTATCGGACCTCTTTATAAGAGATGTATAGAAATTTAACTGGTGCGCTTGCTCCCTATTGAAGGTCGTTTGCAAGTTTCTCGATGGCGCCTACTCTGATAAACCTTTGATAAACATACTTGATGTGGGTAAATCTCGCTAAGCTCATCCTGGTTACAATCCATATTTACAGGAAACATATTAAGGACCGATAAATATTTGGATACGTATAGGATTTGGATCAGAGCAGTGAACTGATTCCTGATCAAAGGATCGAAACGTCAATATGTCAAAAATATTCTTGAGCTGAAAAAATGGTTATTTCTGAGATTGGGGTCAAGTGTTCGTTAGGGACGTGTTCCATAGTTTCTAAATTTTGTGTATAATACCTAATCCACCATAGAAAAAAGAAAATCTCTGTTCTACAACAGAATTATTTCAGTGATTTGAAATATTAACGTGAACTGGTGTGAATAAATTCTAAGGTGAGTACCAGTTACCATATCTGCCTATTATGATTTTCGATATTGGTCTATTTCAATAGTTGATACCTTCTTTGTTCTAGTTCTTCAAAGAGGAAATTCATCAGCTTTCATGCTTTAAATAGGTTCAAGTCATGAAAGAAGTGAAGCTTATTAGAATCGGCTACAAAAAAGATTTCTTGCTTCTATTTCAAATTGAAATTTGAATGAAAATGTTGAGCACAGTATTTATTCGACCACAGAACAATGATGGAAATAGATTCATCCCTCACAGAACCAAGGTTTTGAACGATTTTCCGATTATGGCGCCACTATCGCAAATACCTGAACCCCACGTCCAAAACTCGCTTGCAATTGTTCCATATCGAGAGTTAGTCTGACGAAACAATTGAAGAGTGAGCCCACCAGTTAAATTTCTATACATCTCTTCTTTATTTTTCAATGTGGCCACGTTGGTAGCATTGAAGAGAAAGATGGAAAAGGAAAGAGCTTTCCTCTCTCTCGTTCAAGGTAGAAAAGAGCCCAATTTTCAATCATTTGCTTGTAATAAAAAAATGAGGTGGTCTGAAAGGCGGTTCTTCTATAATTTGCCTGGGGCAACAAAATAGTGAGGGCTTCCCCCTGGCTCCTAATTGATTCCCATATAAAATTAACAAATTTCTTGGTCAATATTTTTTTGCGAAACCAACTAAATCATTTCAACATATACAGGGTGTTTCTCAAGTACATGTCAAAAATTGATTCGGCCGTTACTTGATGAAATCCGTAGCAAACGTAAAAACTTCACAAAGGATGAGATTTCTACAAAATTCTAAATCACAACAAGTACCAGTACAGTACTACTGGTACAAGTACCAGTATTTCACCTGATGAAGCTGCATTTGCACCGTTTTGTCTCTGTTCTTTTATATCGTCGCCATTTTAGACCCGATAGAGGTGGCAACACCGCACCGTGAAACACCTTGAATTGTTCACTCGTTTGGAACATTTCGTCTCTGTTCTCTTTTATATCGCCGCCATTATGTCTCATGAGCAAAAATTCGATACTTTTCCATTCACACAGCCACACGACTCCCCAATTATTCCCCTCCATCGAAACCCAGAACGGTCATTCACCTGTCAGGTCCGGACTCGCCTACGTCACACCTTCGTCCCGTTCTGCTGGTGCTCTCCGATGGTCACCTGCGTGACGAAGGGCCCCCGATTGGCAGGCCGCGAATGCCTGCCCTGTCCTGGCTGGTTCCTCGGCAGCGAATGGGGAAGTTTCCTGCATAGAAGTGAGTGATAATGATTGTCGGTTACTCGACCGAAAAGATACATAATGAAGATGATGGAAAGCCCTAATTTCGAATGACAACGGAAAAAGAAAAAACTCCACCATCCCGCGTGAGAGCGTTACCACCGATACAACAAGGCCAGCAGACTCTGACGTAAACAGCTCGTGACGTCACCAAGAGAGGCCAGTGTTTTATTTTATCGCTTGTCGACTAACGCGTCAGTTCGTGTTAATTCATCGGTGATTCACGTATGTTTTTGTAACGGTCCCGAATTCTTTTGTTGTTTATTCATCAAAATAATTGGCGGAAAAATTACTGTTTTGTGAAATATTTTGTGTTATGATCGTCGAAATAACAATGCCTTTCAAGTGTTGTGTTCCCTTTTGTCGGGGGAATTATGTGGGTGGTTCAAAAGTTCATGCTTTTAGTTTCCCGTTGGACGAGGAGCTATCGAAAATGTGGGTATATTATGCAATTCACCGCGAGGATTTTACTCCATCTAAGTTCAGTAGTAAACAGAGCTTAATTTATAATGATGAATTAATAATAGAAGACAATTACTCTCTCATAAAAAGTATAAGTAGAGGAAAAATAGAAAAGTTTTGATTGTGCAGTTAGTTTTGTATTCGTATATTATAGTCAACAAAATCATCTCTGAATTCGAGGAAATTTTCTTAAATTTTCATATTAAACAGGCATTTTTAATTCTCATTCTCAAATTTCTTTCTGAAAACGGTCATTTGCCTCGTGGCAATGAATGCAGAATTCATTCCAATGATCAAATTGCAACTATCATATTAACATGAACTACAAACACTCTACTTAAAAAGGTAAAACTGCATTTAGCATGATATTTATCATGAAGATATATGACTAAAAAGTACCAAATTTCACCTTCTTTTTCACCTGTCTTCTGGATGGCATTTAGAACAAATTTCCCTTCTTTTTGCATCATATTGGACAATTTATATATAATTCAACTATAAATATGATTTTCTTGAGATTAATCCATATCTAGTGAGAAGAAGGAAGAATATCATTCGAAATAATGGCGTGTGTAATGTCATTCGAAAGCAATCTATTGACATTTGACATCTCGTATTTTGATTGACTATTGATTAAATGGTCGTCATCTGGAATGCTTGTTCACTAAATATGAAAAACTCGCCATAAAAATCATATTTCCTGTTGAATTTTCATGAGTATATACAAGGGGATCGAAGCAATTTACAATTGTCAATCAAGGAAGAATAAAGATAAACTAAGGGGAGAAAGAAGGCGAAATTTCGAACTTTTTCTTGAAATATCTCAATAAATAGTGGTTTCATTTTCATTATAAAATTCGGTTTATCAGACAAAAATACGTGAGTACCGAAAAAAATTTTCAAAAAAAAACCATCGCATGATAAATGCAGTTTCACCCTCAAAAATTACGGTTTCAAGTGTAACGATCCACTTGGGTGAAAAATCCAACAGAAAATTGAAAACACTCACTGATTATTTTTTCAGGTAATATGAATTCTCCAAGATAAATATAGGTAATTGTAACAAACGGCATGTCAATCAAAATAAAATACATTTCCCACAATTTTCTTTCGATCAATCTCACAATAAGTTTATGTTCTGCGGGCCCTGTATAAGTAGGTGAGGAGTTTAACTTCACCACAATTTTTGCCAATATATTTAATTCGAATGGGTTGCTGTAGGTGGATATTTGTGTTTTATCCTGGTTTTTGCTTTAAAACTTCGTTTTTCCATAATAAAATCGATTGGGGTGCGAAGTTGACGACTGGCATCCTTTTTTAACCGGAAGCCCTTCAAAAAACAGCAAAATCGGCTCATTGATGATCTAAAACTAAAATCGAAATACGCGGTCGCCTTATAGCGCTATAAACGCTTGTCGTTTCGAGCCGCTGGTTAGGCCTGACTAAGTGACGTCACCCACGGAGCATGAAGACGGCGAGAGTCGAACTCACAACCTCTGGGTACATGACCAACGCTCTGCCGATTGAGCTAACGGGACATCCGTCAATCAATCGTCAGGAAGGCGGATATTTTCATTATATGTTTGACACCCTGTTGTATCATTGAATGGTATTGAACACGAATCATTAGACCTATGCATATTTATAAAATGATTTGTTCGTCTTACAAACACTCGGAGAACCAACCCTTGAAATATGCCCATGTAATTAAATAATACTCTCTGTATTATCACGTCGCCTAGATTTCATGATCGGGTTTGAATTCATCTTCTCTCCTAAGCGCCATCTGCTGGCAATACAATGCACCATCCCTCTCTGTCATTTCGAACATTGCCATCTATCAGGTAGTGTCTGAACTACAATATCCTAGATTCCTGCATTATATTCTTTCAAGAAATGGAGTTTACCAAGATCAGCTGAGATGGATGGATATTTTGTTGACAGAATAATCGTTTTTGTTGCTTTTTGTCCGAATGGAAACATTTCAAGAGCTGATATTTCAGTGACAACTCGCCGAATTTCCAACAATTGTAGTGAGATCAAAAATATTTCAATTTGAGACAAAAAAAATTTCAATGTTTACATTTTTCAAAAATCTGTATCTTCTATAAATGAATGAGTTTCGACTTCGTATGATAATCAGACCCTAGTCCTAACCTTCTTCTTTACGATGATTTAATTAGTTTTTCAATTGAATCTTCCATAAGCCCAAAAAGCAGAAAATAGTACAGGCCTGCATGTCGATTTGGTTGAAACTCTCCTCTTAATGTACATTTTGGGCCATTAGTTTATTCATCAAACTATACTTATTCATAATTCATAATCATTAGACAAAACTGATGTAGCATTGAAGTCGTTCACGAAGTTAGTATTTTTCATCAATACTAAATTAACAATCAAATATGTTCAATACCTGCACATCTGAATAGCTTTCTTTAACTTTTAGGTAATTTTGAATTTTCCGTATACGCTGTGTCGTAACGAAGTACTTTTGTATCTCAATCATAATTTCTTCATCATCACTTGTATCCGAAATATCTATGATTTCGGAAGTTATATAAATAAACTTCAATGAGACATTCATAATCATCCAAATTCCAAACATTTTCCCACTCGTGACTCGAATATTTGAGGCTATGTGTATCGCACCGTCGTACAAGCACAGTCGAAGCCCTGAGGGGGCAGAAGGACGATCTAGCCTTCATAGCCATCTAGTGGCTTAAGTGCAAGGTGTATAGGTAGATTCATCAATCATACCTTGCGACTAAGTCGTGCATATAGACCCCTACGTCTATCTGTTAGTGAAACATCAAACCACTTTGAGAATTACAGGTGTTGCGATAGTCTACAGAATCTCACATGAATGTCTTTTCTGTAAGCATATAGATGTAGGGGTCTATATGCACGACTTAGTCGCAAGGTATGATTGATGAATCTACCTATACACCTTGCACTTAAGCCACTAGATGGCTATGAAGGCTAGATCGTCCTTCTGCCCCCTCAGGGCTTCGACTTGTTTGATATATGGAGGTACCCTTCGTGAATCGATTGTCAGCTGGCCAGTGCAACTGATGAGACTTATGGCAAGTCGAAACAGTCTGTCTTGCATGAGCTGACAATCGATTCACAAAATTTCCCTAGAATCTCTTAGTCTTGAGATTCTAGGTTTATCGTACAAGCACCGTTCTGAAAACTCGACCTCTGAGCGGGCATTGAGCAAGTTTGAAAGTCAGTGGAAATCATTTCTCGACAAAAGTTGAAATTCTCAGAGGACCACGCAAAACGCACTCAGTGCCGAAAAAGTTCAAGCTAGTGCGACGAGTGAAAAACGCTATTAGTTATTCAAAACATTCATGAATTCTCAATTATGTATTGGTAATATTCCTATTTGGCAATACAAAATCAATTGTCTCAAAATGTTCCCTTATGATTTGTGGCTTATTATTATTATTTGTGTAAACAGTAATTATATCAATTCACACTAAAGGACATTCGAATAAACTTACTCATTCGAGTTGTGGTCCTGATAGGCGGCGCTGATCGTCTGCGGCGCATTTTGGCCGACGTTGTGCCTGACCGTCGTCCGGTTGTTCAGCACCGACTGGACGCTCTCGTACTCGTAGTAGTTCGAGACGGGCCTCAGCTGGCTGTCGGCGCGCGACTGTCGCTGCGAGTGGTACTGGTGCTGCTTCCGGCTGAAAGAATGATCGAAGGTGTCACTGGTATAGGAGTCAATGGATGGTATTAGTTAAGAGTTCCTAAATGTACTTGACACTGCTGTTTTGACGTTTTTTTTTTTGTATATTCAGAGTACGGACACTATGACCAGCACTGACAATCAGACAAAACATAACTCCGATTAACTTGAAATTTGGCAGGTGTTCATAATTTTGGTGACAATACATTATGGAATTTTTGTTGAAATTAAAAAAAAAGGCTGCTCCAAGATGGCGGACAAGATTTGGTCCGATTCCATTCAAAATTGGTAAGTGGGGGTTTTTGAGGTCGGAGATAATGGTTTTTTTGATAAAATTCATAAATTCAAGATGGCGGCTTCCAAATATTTTTTTGTTTTTGTGTTAATGACGATAACTCCGTTGTTATCAACACAAAACTATTACTGCGAAATATCATCTGTGAGAGAAAAAAGTTATTTGTAACTAAGTCATAGTGAGCTATGACCTACATTTGAAAAACTAAAGTTGGTGCTGATATCTCAAATTCTAGAAGAGTTGGTATAAATTTCATATTTTTTTCGAAATCACTTTGAAAAACTGCCATGAGAATGTGAAATTCCTATTTGAATATTTTCATAAAGAAGTTACGGAGGAGACATGAAAATGATCAAAATCTGTTTTTTGCGTATAAAACAAAAACGAATAGATTTTATCAAAATATTTTTTCACATTATAGTTGGCCTTGACAACTCCACATTTGGTGTCATTTAACCGACCTCGTATCTCTCACCGTTTAAAAGATACACATGGTGAGCATGGTAAGTGGGACACCCTGTATATGTACATATCAACTTGATATCGACCTCCATTGAGGTCCTTCAGCTTTATCATTCAATATTTTCTAATCAATTTATCGTACCCTCTTTTACCCACTAGATGAGACGCTATGCACTCTCATACAAAAATCAAAGACAGAGAAAGATATATGGATGTACTCTTCCCAGGACTTGTGTGTGCTTCAAAATCGTTCGTGGTTATGTTTGATTGTCACTGCTTGTCTATAAAACAGCAGTTTCAAGCACATTTAGGAACACTAATACCATCTAGTGACTCTAACTGGTATCAGCGTCTGAGCGAAAGACGAGGTGGTTCACACATATGAATCATGGTGGAATTATAAAATGGTGTGCATCTTCGTATACGTCACTGCGAGTGAAACAATTGCTCGCAGTCTGAGCTCGCAGTCTGAGCTCGCAGTCTGAGCTCGCAGTTATCAATTCGCCAGAGTCGCCGTGATCATTTTGGTGCGAGTATTCGTGGGAATCAATGTTACCAGGTGGCGCTCGGTTTTCATCGTTCAATGTCAAAGCCACGTCAAAACTGGGGGAAAACAAACTCAATCCTCACTCAATCCCATTAGTGCCATTAGCTTTTGTACTGTGTACTGATAAGAGTGATAAGTTTCTAAATTTCTTGACATTAATTGTCAATATCGGATCGAAAACGCAAATAATGCCTGTTGTAGATGTTCTTTTGGCAGATATTTTGCTCTATTTAAACGGAAAATGCCGACCAGTAGTGGAAGGAGAAGCAGTTCTCCGTGCTAATCATGTGATTTTGTGTGAGGCAGAAGACTTCAACAAAAGGCACATTTTTGCACTTTGTCTACAAACTTCGGCGATGAAATCTTCCCCACATGAAGTAAAATTGAAGTTGGGGTCCAGAGGAACTCCTGTGGAACAATGGATTTATATTTGTTCATGCAAAGCAGGACAATCTGGGTATTGTAAACACGTTGTAGCTGTTCTTTTATATGTCAATTGATTTGCTCGTCATAATTAGTTTGAATTTTTTGAACTATCTCCAATTCTTCACTCGTTCACTGTTCACTAAACTAATAAAAATGTAATAATATAAAAAAATTAACCAACTCAACCATCATCTCTACCAACAGTGCCAACACTTTATGTCATTGACAAGTTTGACTACAGCTACAGCAAGCTGAATGCAATGTAGTCTATGCACTTTATCCATAGACAATAGTTTGTTTTCCCCCAGTTTGAAGTTCGTATTATGTAACATAGATGTCGTGAATCTCGCGAATAGACTCGCAATGACGTTATGCGCAGAAAAGACGAATTCAAGATACCTGAACAGCACACCATATTTTATTTCCACCATGACAGGAATGAAATCGACTGAATCGCTCTCTGGTGTCTGTCTATGTCTATATTTCACTGGTGAAAATTTAAAAAAAAATCTTTTACGACGAAAATGCTCCTTGATGATGAAAAGATGTGTGAAAAATTCTATAAAAATTTCAACACCCTGTAGCTCAAAAACTAAGAGGTTTGGGACATAATATGTTGATATAAACATTTCTCCTTAAATACACCCGAGGATTCACACCTTGTATTATCGGCACTCAATTAATCAACACCTTGTATAACGCAAGTCATACTATGTATCTGATATAAATACAGGGTCGCTGATATGTATGGAAACAAGTGAATATCTCGGTAACCTGTTGGATTTATTCGAATTTATGTACTGTGTGATTTCAAAACGCGGCGGATTTGAAAATATTATAGCCAATGTTGCCACTTTTTCAGTTATTCCGGATTTGTTATCAACTTCCTTATTTTGAATGAAACACCCTGTACTTGGATTTTCAGATTCTCCTTGAAGAGTTGATTCCATTGATCTATCACACTTGGGATCTAGTGGGCATGATTACATAGGTATAGGATGTTTAAAATCTAGATGTTTCAACTGCAGGATTTTTTTGTGTCGAAACTATTCATTATCGATCAAAACCGCTTCAATGTTCCTATCTTTACTTCTGATTCACTATCAACTGACATTTAATTGAAACAAGTACAGGGTGGTTCAAGATTCAGAATTCTGATCACCCTCTGTATCTGTTCCAATTAAATGTCAGTAGATAGTAAATCAAAAGTAAATATAGGAACATCGGAGCGGTTTTGATCGATAATGGATAGTTTCGACACAAAAAAATCCTAAAGTTGAAAAGTCAAGATTTTTGAAACACCCTATACCTACGAAATCATTCCCGCTAGACCCCAAGTGTGATAGATCGATAGAATCACCTCTTCAATGAGAATCTGAAAATCCAATAAAGTACTGGGTGTTTCATTCAAAAAAAGGAAGTTAAAAGAAAAACCGGAATAACTGAAAAAGTGGCAACATTGGCTATAACATTTTCAAATCCGTCACGTTTTGAAATCACACTGTACATGAATTCAATGAAATCTAACAACAGGTTACCGAGATATTGGTTTCCATGCATATCAGCGACCTTGTATAATACAGTAAGCTAAAATAATCATGCAAAGCGTCAAAGTTGATAGGAGTTCGAGAGATTAGTGATCACAGGATGGGAGTTAGGTGGCGTGAGTTGTGAATGTGTGGAAAAACAATGAATTTTGTGCATACCTTTCCTCCTCCACCTTTAATCTTTGCTGCTGCACCTGCAGACGCATCTGAACTATCTGACTGTCAGATAGATGGTCTTTATTGCGGCTAACAGGACAAAACACGTAAATGTTACAAAACAATTATTCACAGACAAATACAAGACATAACATACAAGACATTACAATATCACAAATAAATGAGAAGCAGTGGCGGCTCCTCAGAGGAGGCAACGGAGGCTGAGCCTCCTCAGAGATTTTCCTCGAACTGATATTATCCATACTTTCTCATTAAAAGGACACCAAAATACATGGATTTTGATTTTATTTCTAGGAGGCTAGACACCTTCACAATGCGCAACCCACGCGCGCAATGCAAATGCCCGAATACGCCCGAATAGCACGTGTTTGTCGTGTCGCGTCGCGAATTGCGGACAATCCAGCGCGAGTGCATTGTTTATGTTTATGTTAGGTGTGAGTTTTTTAAACGATTGCGATTTAGTGGAATACTTTCTGGTGAACCCATTCAGTGCTTTGTCTTATGAAGATAAATTGATTGAGAAAAACAAACGTCCGACACCGGAATTAATAAATCTGATTGTAACAGGTAACAAACAAAATCGTTCGTTCGATTCTGATAATTATAAAAAATATATCTGGTTGACGGGATCTGAGGTAAGGAATAAGCTATTTTGTTGGTACTGCGTATTATTTTCAACCGATAAGTCATCATGTTGGGGGCGATTAGGATATAATGATTTGAAAAATTTGCCTCGCGGATTGGATACACTGCAAATCACAGGAACACATCTCTTCAAGTATTAAGTTCAGGTTAACTGGTCAACAGAATGTCATTAAAGCTATTGATTTGGGTGATTAGAGAGTTGTTTTTCATAGTTCATATCATTCAGCCTCCTCTATCATGAAAGTCACGAGCCGCCACTGATGAGAAGTTGACATTGTCCTTCATATTCAGTAAAAAAATCGTGAAAAAATTAGATTCGAGTCAACAAAATGCTTAGTCAACGACAATTTCGACCGAGGGAATCCAGTGTTAAAAACAGTGATGAGCATTGAAAAAGAATATTCTCAGATTCTCTAATTACTATTCGAAAGTGTTATTTTCTGGAACAAAATATATGAAATCGAATACTGCAAGGAGACCTTCTCACCGTCCTTATCAGAAATTTTACAGGGTTACCCTCAAAGCGTGACATAACACAAATCCATTTTTTCAAATGCAACACACTGTTTTTTATATTTTTTTATTCATGTGATTTTCTGTGACCACAAATATATACATAATAATGTATGACTCCAGAGACACTATTTTTGTATGATGATTTAGTGATCATTCAATCAATTTCGAAATTCATTCAATAATACTCCAAGATATTACTGTCAAATATGTTCTCATTATGCTTACATGATGATATCTGGTAGGTGCGAAAAAAAGGCAATTTTTTCTGAATGAAAAAATCATAATTTCCGAAAAAAGATATGAAACATACTAAATACAGTGCTTCATTTTGAAAAAAATGGATTCGTGAATTATAACGCTTCTAGGGATCACCTTGTAGAAGTTTTGATAGGGGACGTGGATAAGCCTTATCACGTCATTCAATTTCCGCATATAGTTTTTATTCTATCAGTGCAAAACATTGTGGAATAACTTTACTGACATGCCAATCACTGTTAATAAATATAGATAGAAAACTATCACAATTTAACTCGTATCGCTCAGAAATTTTTTCAACGTTCTCAAATGACAAACTAATACACAATTTTTTTTGCAATCTTACATAGATCATCCTGTATGGTCATGCAACGAAATTAGTGTTAGTTACAAAATGAACTGTGCATAAAAGAGAAGATGAAAACTTAGTGAAATAATGAATAACATTTGTACAAAGATAAGAAGGGAATATATATAACAAATTGAACTTTCCACAGTAATCATCAGATCTGAAGAAATAAACAAGAATACTTACCTAATGTGGGTTTGAAGCTCGTTATAATTAACATAGTGTGTGAATGGCACAGACGACTCTGTGATACCGGATCTACTACCAGGCCTTCCATATTCGATGAATTGACTTGCAGGATCAATCCTCTGGAAAATACAATGATAATATTTTGGATTGACTCGGCCGTTACTTGATGGAAAACCATAGAAAATGTAAAAAAAATCACAAACGAAAAGATTTTCACAAGAAAGATAGTTTGATTTATATTTTATTTGTAGCTTCTTCAGATGAAATACTAGTATATTGGGATATTAGTACATTATACATCAAGGGACAGAATGCAAGGTGCGATTTGTAGTTCGAGGGCGAAGCCCGAGAGATACAAAGCACCGAGGGAAAAACAACATTTTGTCCTGAGGTGTATGTACTATTTTTTACGATGGCGAAAACACAAAAATTAAGAAAGAATAAAAATTTGGTCATTCGAGGGCGAAGCCCGAGAGATACAAAGCACCGAGGGAAAAACAACATTTTGTCCTGAGGTGTATGTACTATTTTTTACGCTGGCGAAAACACAAAAATTAAGAAAGAATAAAAATTTGGTCATTCGAGGGCGAAGCCCGAGAGATACAAAGCACCGAGGGAAAAACAACATTTTGTGCTGAGGTGTATGTACTATTTTTTACGCTGGCGAAAACACAAAAATTAAGAAAGAATAAAAATTTGGTCAAAGTGTTTTGTCATAATTAGTAGTAGTATAGTCTGTGGAATTCGTATCTTGACAACATGCATCTTGTTGAAAACCCATGCATGGTGACAGCAAATATCAAACTGGAATTTATGAAAACAGCTTTGAAAATGGTTGACGGTTATGGAACAAGAACCCCAATAAAGTATTAATACTGCTTCTGCAGTGATTCTTAACTTGCTACCAGTGAGATCTAGAAATCTGTATGATGCAGCTTATACTCGCTTCAGAGAAGGGTGTTCCGAAAAGAAAGCGCAGAGCTAAGCGGAACATGTAAACTAACTCCCTAGGGAGAAAATCTGTCACACTATCTCCCTGCAGAAGAATACGAGACTTCTGCCCCTCTTTTGTTACCAGAGAAACTAACTCCTACTCCTGCCGGCGTAAAAACTCAGTTTTTCTACTCACATGAATAAAATGGCATTTAGCGTACGGATATGTACCACGCTAAATGATCGATTAATCACGGATTGTCGATCTGTGATTTATTCAAAATATTGAATACGTTACCATGGCAACACGATTTCTCAAACACGTTACCATGGCAACACAGTTCATTAAACACAGCTTCAGTAGAGATGTATAAAAATTCAACTGGTGGGCTCACTCTTCAATTGTTTCGTCAGACTAACTCTCGATATGGAACAATTGCAAGCGAGTTTTGGACGTGGGGTTCAGGTATTTGCGATAGAAACGCCATAATCGGAAAATCGTTCAAAACCTTGGTTCTGTGAGGGATGAATCTATTTCCATCATTGTTCTGTGGTCGAATGAATACTGTGCTCAACATTTTCATTCAAATTTCAATTTGAAATAGAAGCAAGAAATCTTCTTTGTAGCCGATTTTAATAAGCATCACTTCTTTCATCACATGAACCTATTTAAAGCATGAAATCTGATGAATTTCCTCTTTGGAGAACCAGAACAAAGAATGTATCAACTATTGAAATAGACCAATATCGAAAATCATAATAGGCAGATATGGTAACTGGTACTCACCTTAGAATTTACTCACACCAGTTCACGCTAATATTTCAAATCACAGAAATAATACTGTTATAGAACAGAGATTTTCTTTTTTTCTATGGTGGATTAGGTATTATACAGAAAATTTAGAAACTATGGAACACGTCCCTAACGAACACTTGACCCCAATCTCAGAAATAACCATTTTTTCAGCTCAAGAATATTTTTGACATATTGACGTTTCGATCCTTTGATCAGGAATCAATTCACTGCTCTGATCCAAATCAAATACGTATCCAAATATTTATCGGTCGGTAATATGTTTCCTGTAAATATGGATTGTAACCAGGATGAGCTTAGCGAGATTTACCCACGTCAAGTATGTTTATCAAAGATTTATCAGAGTAGGCGCCATCGAGAAACTTGCAAACGACCTTCAATAGGGAGCAAGCGCACCAGTTAAATTTCTATACATCTCTGCTTCAGTAATTCGAGACATGTCTGGTTTGTCAATTTTATTAACTGTCAACTGTTATTTTCAAATGTTGTATCAGAATTATTCAAACAATATTCGTCTGTATCAGAATTCTTCATTAAAAATATATGGTACTGGTACTTGCATATCTCCAAGAAGTAGTGTAAAAATGAAGCATCCATCTTTGAAAACAATTCATTTATTCTGCGCTAAGCATGACAATAAACGTGAAACAAAGGTTTGTAAGCCATGGACTGGACACATTTACAACCAATATCACTTATACGGGTCTCGCTGGTTGCATGCAGTTGCATGTATTATGTTCTCTATTCCCATTCCTTTCGAATTATTTTGTAGGTCAGCAGGAATTGGAGGTATGTTGATGTAATTTTCAGAGTTCGTAGAAAAATCATAGTATGTAACGCGTTTATAAACTCTTCTAGACACTCGTTTATTAAACACTCGCTCCGCTCTGCTCCGCTCGTGCTTAAAATACTCGTTACACTTGTTACATAATATACTATTCTTTACCTGTTGAGATTGATGCCTATGGTCATAAATTGGTTCTCTCTCGTCGGTCTGGTAATAGGTGTGTCTCTGTTGCATCCTTTGCTTATGCAAATCTCGTTCGTTCCTCCTATGCTCTGAAGAGTTTTGTCTGTATTTTATTGGTGGAGCGACTGAGTTTTCGGGAATCACCTAGAAGGTACAGAAAAGAATCTAATTAGTTTTTTGAACAAATATGGAAGGAGTCCTCGGCTTTATGTAGCCAACAACAAATATTGTTAGTTTTAGAGGATTCTTAGAAAAAAATCAGATACATTGATCAGTACAATATGTACTAATGAATGACATAAGGAAAATCAAACAATGTCGAATTGGATTAATTTATACCGCTCTCTCTTCAATTTGTTGCTTTCATCATCTGTCATTCGATTTATTTTCATTCAAGGACTTCCATACCTTTATACACTACCTTATTCCACTTTGAACTCTTAGTAATAATAGTTCTCAAAGTACTAAGCCTGATAAAAATATTTGTATTCTAACATTTCTCACTTAATTACGGTAAGAATAATTTATTTATATTGTTTTCAAAGTCTAATTTGGTCAATCTACTTGAATTTTCAGAAATTTCAACATTTTGAAAAAATGTGCGGAAAAAATTGAGTGTCTGACTTCTGACAGAATCGCCAATGAAAGTATTTCCAAGAAATTAAAACCTCCAAAAGTTGAAAAAACACCTACCTCCTCTCTCTATCCTCCGCGATGTTCCACGAACATTATAGGAATTTCCTTTCGTGCGCTCCAACGAATGAAGAAATAATGATTGAAAATGATTAGTGAACACATTGAGGATTGTCAAAATTAACACAATCCCTACTTATTAAAAAGGTGATGACAGAATATCAGAAAAAGTACCAATCTATAGATAATTTCCAATGCAGCTACTTTGGCCAATATTTAGTAGTTCTGCTTCCAGATAATAGCTATTTGTGTATTTAGAGCGCAAAGTGATAGATTGCCGCTCGACAAAGAAAGTTACCGCGCGATGCGGAGCGGAGCGCGGTAATCTTTGGAGAGCGGCAATAACACTTTGTGCTCGAAATACACACAAGATTTTTTCTACTAACGCAGCTTTTGGAAATAACTGCCCTGAAAGTATGAGCGATTGAAATAGTTGAAAAAGTTCTTATCCATATTATCCCATATGTCCAAAGGAAACAAAAAAAGAAAAATTGAAATAACTGACAAGCCAGAAAAAAAATTTCGGGCCTACCAAGAATTGAAACTGGACCACCAGCGTGGCAACCTGAGCTTCAGACCTCTGAGCCATAGTACGATAAACTCTGCAATCAAATTGTACATTACTCATTGATGCAATAAAATAAAGATACACTGTCTTTCTGATGATAACAAAGAGTTTCAATATAAAGTATAATTCATCGTTTTCAACAGATTTCCTCCATCGGGAGCTTCTTGTAGAAATTTGTTGGTATATTCAGCGGTTAATGTTTTGAATTTTTCTCGCTTTATATCCAATAGATTGTTTCTTGAGAAATGCGATAAGTTTCAGATACTTATTGATTCTGATATTATCTCTAACATTCAAGCATCTATATACGTACCATCGAATATATAGACCAATGAGTTGATGACTTCAAAGTCTTTGATTTTTTACCAAAATAAGCCAGTAAAACGTTTTCTGAATACATATTCACCATCTCGGAGTGGCACCAATTTATGAATGTATCATATTGTAATTCATATTTCTTCCTTGATTTCTCCGGTATAAGAGATTCAAACTCTTGCGCTTTCTGCTATATCATCAGGAGGTGTGTTTGATGATTCACTGTCACTATTTTCCATCATGAAAGAATTGGGGGATTTCAAGAATAGATAAGTATAGGTTACAGAGATGTGCGAGCGTTTTTTCAATATTTCCGCTCACGAGCGCAAATGCTGTCAAAGAATGACATTTCTGGGGAAACGTCAACTTTGTGCTGGAATTTGAAAGCGTCAAAGGCTACTTTGTTAAGCGTTTGTAGAAAAAATTAATATTTGCCTGACAGCTTGAACATGGTGCTTCTTTCTATTATATTGCAAATGTATTGCAATTTTTTTTATTTCTTGGAGCGCACGAAAGGAAATAGAGAGAGGAGGTAGGTATTGGAATTATCTTTGAAATTTTTGGAGGTTATAAGTTCTTGAGCATACGCCCATTGGCAAAAAATTCCAAAGACGTTGACAGAATACAAGAAAAATGTCAACGTCTGTTACTATATTTGACGCTTTGCCCTTCCTTTGGCTTTTGTCTTTCACAAAAATGACCATTTGAAGATGAAACTCCTTTGACTGGATTTAAGTAAACACAATTTTCCCAAGTTTGTGCCAATGTTGAACTTGATTATAGTTAAGTTCTTTTGGCTGTTTAGTCCGTTCAAAAATTCAAGTATTCCTTTACCGGACTGATTTTTGGACAAATGACTCCACGGCTCTGTAATTTCATTTTTACTTAATAATGTAATTTCCACATGGCCTTATAGGTATGTTTGTTCCTCAACAACTTATTGTTCCTCTGCAAATTAAATATCTTCACAGGTACTGGGTACTGATGTGTCTGAAGATGGCTGTTTGAGCCCAAACTAGTCACATTAAATTTTGTGTAACATTATTTTTGTGGTCGACCGACTTGGTGTTATTTTGTTTTTTCTTTTCACTGTTTAGTCCAGTCATTATATCCAAATAACGGACCTTACCCGTGAATAATTTTTTAGTGTTTTTTTTTCCATAGGTGTCTCGGGGGGGTCACTGGGAGTGTAAATTCAAAATGGCGACCAAATCAAGCTTTTGCGTATGTTACTCGGCCATTTTTGATTCTACAGAAAAAGTTTGGGAACAAAAATTGTAGTAAATTTGGTTCTCTACAAGTTTGGTCCTCACAATTTTCCTGATAGGATCGATATTTTGTAAATTAAACCTGGAAAAAGCGACAAATTCGAAATATTTTCATTATCTCGTTTATTTTCAACTTCACGGCATAAATGAACAGAAACAAACTTGTAGAGAATCAAATTTTGGACAAATTTTGTCTCCACCTGTTTTTCCGAAAATCGATATTTTCGGAATTGAACCTAAAAAAAAAACGACTCATTCGAAATATCATCATTATCTCGTTTATTCTCAACTTTACACCATAAATGAGAAGAAACAAACTTGTAGAGAATCAAATTTTGGACAAATTTGGTCTTTACCTGTTTTTCCGAAAATCGATATTTTCGGAATTTAACCAGAAAATATGTACCCAAATGCACGAAAAATTGCGGAGGAAAGTGTGGGTGTCGTAAGGCAGGACTGGAATGTTCTGTCTTATGCCACAACTGCGCTGGGCAGACTTGCGATAACGTCACACAATTGATTGTCGATGACGAAGACAGTGATGATGACAACGACATCGCCGATCCCGCACCATTAACACTGAACCTTAACGAACGTGAAACTGGACATTACCAATTGACCGAAGAAGAAAGAGAGGATATGGATTTGGCAGGACCATCAGCTAAGAAACAAAAAAAAAATAGTTCCGGAACCATATTTTCACACCGACATGACAGACAAGCTACCTGCGCGGAATAACCTCTTCATTTATGCCGTAAAATGCGAAGCATTGGAGATAATGATAATCTTTTGAATTTGTCGCTTTTTTCAGGTTTAATTCCCAAAATATCGATTTTTGAAACAAAAGCGTGATAACCAAAATTGTTTAGAATTTGATTCTCCACAAGTTTAGTCCTCTTCATTTATGCCGTAAAGTTGAAAATAAACGAGATAATGAAAATATTTCGAATTTGTCGCTTTTTTCAGGTTTAATTTACAAAATATCGATCATATCAGAAAAATTGTAAGGACCAAACTTGTAGAGAACCTAATTTACTACAATTTTTGTCCCCAAACTTTTTCTGTAGAATCAAAAATGGCCGAGTTATTCAAGAAAAACCATACGCAAAAGCTTGATTTGGTCGCCATTTTGAATTTACACTCCCAGTGACCCCCCCGAGACACCTATGAGAAAAAAAAAACACTAAAAAATTATTCACGGGTCAAAGTCTATAATGACTGGACTAGTTCTCAACGTTTTAGACTCACCTGTACTTGCTCCGCGTGCCTATGGACCAGCCCGTGCCTCTGGTACAACGGCTCCCTCTGCACCTGTTGCTCCCTCTGCGAATTCTGCCCCGAATGTTGCGACCCCTGCCCAGAATGCTGCGAGTTCTGAGAGTGCTGCGAATGCTGCGAATTCATGCTGGAGTTGTGCGAATTGTGGGCGAAGCCGTGCCCGAAATGGTTAGGGTTAGCGTGATGCGTGGCTTGTTTCTGGGGCTGTTTTTGCTGCGCGTCCGACTGCTTCTCCGATTGGCTGCCGTGGCTGGCGTTGTCTTGGTCCTGTTGGTTTTGGGGCGGTTGGGGGAGGTTCGCGTTCGCGTCGAATTCGGTTGGCGGGTGGTAGCTGTGTACGGGCTCGGAGGGTTGCAACTCGATTTTCCGGTGTTTTCCGAACCTGGAAATCAGTTATGAATGAATGAATGAATGAATGAATGTTTATTGGCAGAAATAACTGATTACATGGAAGTTAACAATGATTGTTACTATTCAATAAACATTTAAATAACTCACAGAAGTCATTGACGACAACATCAATGACTTGTACGTGGTATAACACAATATCATAAGTATACATTATACAAATACAAAATTTACACAGTTATTACAATATAATCACCTATAATCTAGAATTTATACATAAAAGTTGAAAATAAAAGAAAATGAATTAAAATAGAAGTAAGAAATAAGGCGAGAGCGCAATTTTAGACAGGATTCAAGACAGCAGCATTTTACTATAACTTATTTATAATCGTGGCAAGTCAATCGTAGATGTGCAGTAAGTATATGTATATAATCGTGGCAAGTCAATCGTAGATGCGCAGTAAGTATACGTATATGACTGATCATGTAGATATAGTTATTTTATGGTTATGGGCGGTGAGGCTCATTTTGAACTTTGACAAATTATGTTGACTTTTGACACTTTCTGGTAAGTTATTATACAATTTTGTTCCTAGGTATCGATAACTCTTTTGTCCGATATGTTTTTTCATTTCATTTCAGTTATAGACGACTGAATTTAAGATCGCAGCGCCAAAGTGGCCGGTTGAGGAACTACATGAAAGTACATTGTTTTGAAATGGTTCACTTGCTTGTGCTTGTTCAAGTTTGAACCCCTTGATTGGGTGAAAGTATTGAAGAGGAATATTCTCCGATATAATTATGAACATAAAAAAATGGATATATACAGAGTGTCCGCTAAAAGGAGGTCAATCCATTAACCATATATTCCTTGAACAAAAACAATATGAGTCTCTGAATACCATTTTTCATTGAAGCCCTTCATATTCGATATACAGGGTGTCAAAGTTGGAAACTGAAAACTGTTTTTCCTTAATTACTCGCGTATTTAATAAGATATCAATCTCAAAATTGGTACATTACTTCAGCACAAAGAGTTACATCGTGTGAGGAAAACAAAACAGAAAATAACTGTCAAATATTCAAAATACTGGGAGTCAAGTGCACACTTACCCCCATATTTTTTTGTACGTGCGCTAATGACTTCCTATCTATTTTTCTTCAAGTGTTCAATCATTTCTGAGTATTTTTTGTTTCTTGTAAAATTTTGATAAAATTATTTGTTTTCAAGATAATTCGAAAAGTACTGGTTATTGTTTGATGCCTGTGCGGCTTACGGTAAGCTCATAATGTTCACATACTCCTATTTATTTCGTCGAAATTGGAAGAGGGCGTTACTTTTTACGTACGAAAAGGTAAATATGGAGAGACCGGGTGCTCAGAGCGAAGAATTAACGCAGTTGAGTCTTAACTCTTCATTTATAGTTTTGTTTTGACAGTTCAATGTAAATTATCGAGAACCATGCAGTGTTATCAGTTTAATACCGAATGATTGAGTGAAAAAATAATCGAGATATTTCAACGTGTGAGCAAATCGAGCGCGTTGATGTTAGAGATTATTAATCAACTCGACCTCACCGCGCTGTTGAATTTGTTCTTTTAGTACGTAATATTTGCGATCACCCCAATCCTCCAGGTTCGTGAGGAAGGATAAGTTAGGCAACTGAATGTTAGGTTAGGTTAATTTTTTGTATGAGTATTTTACTTGAAGAAGCAAACATGTCCTGTGATTTTGTATAAATCTATTCCGTTGAGTTTTTACGAATATTTGAAAACTATAACATTATTTTAGAGAACTAATAGTATCATGAGCTTGTCTTACCTGAACATAGAGCCGATTCCCTTGAATATTCCTGGTTTTTTCTTAGAAGACTTAATTTTACTATCAATAGCTGCATTTAAGGAAGACTGCCTAGGTGCACCTCTAACATGGTTGAATCCTTCTATTTCTCTCTCTTGCTGCGTCGGACCCTCCAGCAACCAATGTTTTTTAGCTACCAAAAAAATATTTTTTTACAACTAAGTAGCTTTGGACGCTGTTGGATCTCAAAACAAAGCAGACATTTTCAGGAAGATGAATTAATATTCAGAAAACGTATTACTGGTCTATATTTTTGATGAGGAAGATTTATAAGTTTACTTTTTGTAATCGGAAAATGAGTACCTTAATTTCTTGGTTCGGTAACATTTTAATTTGAGATTATTATTCAAGAAGTCTAATTATACCGGGTCTTCAACAATGAATAAACACCACGTGACCATCTTCGTATGCAACCAACAATACATTTTTGTTATCAGGTTTACTCATCATATATGTCATATTAGCACCTAGGATCATTCATGACAAAAATTAAAAACAGGAAAAATGGTGCGAATCTGTCTCTTCAATTTTGTATTTTCGAAATTTATACTGCACAGCTGTAGCTCATTAGCACCCAGTTGCTCTTTGTTATTGTCTTTTCTCCTGGGTTTGTTGATAGTTTATATGGTTCTTGATTTTATTTTATTGTTCTTGCGTTTGATTATTTCACTAACAATTATTACTTTGCGAAAAACAGTTTTTATAAAAACAACATCTCCAATTCATTGTTGTGAAAAGGTAACCTCTTGTTTTTATTGTTCATGTCCTTATTTTCCTTTCAGGATTAAACATGTTTTTTTTTTCTGGTGATATGGATGCCTTCTTACTGATGGCACATTTCAGAAGTGGTTCTCGTAATCCTGATGGAACGTATATTCACTTCAAAGCTGCCGGGACCAATTTCATGATGCATTTCCAAATGCAAATATCCCGCCTATGTTTCAATTTGATAGCAGCTGTTAATTTCCAGTTATTCATTTACCAACTGTGCAGTGTTGGTTGCACACACATTTTGGTCACGTGATGTTCAATCATTGTTGAAGACCCGGTACAAATAGCAATAATAGCTAGTGGCAAAATTATATATGACAGTTAGAAGAGTTTCATTACCGATTTCACTTCTATGATTCGGGTCTACTACAGCAGCCCTGAAACTTTCTTCACAGCCCCTACCCCTAATAACTTTCAGAGCACCATTTGGCCCTCTATAACTATAAGCAGGGTCACACTCTTCTTGCATCTGGATCTGAAATCAAAGAAATATATATGTTAATCTCATGACAAAACATTTCAACGTAGTTCACTGGTAGACTGCAAACACCTGAATATTGATAAATGCCAAACAATGTTACCTCTTGAACCATGGTTTGCAGAGATTCCAAACTAGATGACTTCTTCATTCCCAGACTTGGCCCCAATTGACCGAGTTTATCAGCATCTGTAAAAATGGTTGATTAACACCTTGCAAACATGCAAAAACGATGAGAAATCCTTAAGTAATCTCTTGTGACTGATCGAATATGAAAAAAACTTAGATTACATGAAAATTATATGACAACAATGAATATGATGAAGGATGCTTACATTCAGGATGTTCTGAAGATCGATTTACGCTAATGACAGATTCCACTGAACCGACTCGCACTAAGCTAGCTGTGGGACATGGATGAAAACACAAAAATATTAGCACATCGTTTGGCAAACTACGACATTAAATACATGGATAATGAAACAACAAAAAATCAGGAATAACGTTTTTCGGTTTGATGTGCACAAAGGAAAACGCTTTTGGTAATCCATGATACATAATATAGCTCCATCTGTGAAGAGTATAGAACAATTATTGGTGGTTTTAGCAATCCAGTTCATAGCCCTGAAATTTCGAGTTATTCAACTACTAAGTTTTTTGGTTCCTGATTCGTCTTGAAATTTTTCCTCAATTAGATAGAATCCGAACCAATTTCCCTATTCATAATGATTCATTTTTAGCAAAAATTATTGTCTAACACACTAGAAACACTTGGAGAAGTATACAAATGTTTCAACTTCCAATATGATTTGTCAATAAGAGCTCATTTTTTATGAGAGAAAAGTATAATTCTAAAGAGCATTCCTTCTCATCTGAAGCAGTGGAATTCATTTTATAATTGTTTAATTCATAATTTTCCCTTTCAAGTTCAAGTTTTCAATTAAATGATTATTATTTTAGAAGTTGATAGGTTGATTTTAAAATATAAGTTGATGAGGAGTATGCTATCCTTTTGTATAATTTCCTACCCTTGTACAATCCGCTAAAATTTCGGACGTTTACGTTACCCATAATTTTTTCTTGTTTCGTGACCAAATACTACACAAAAGCATAAAAGTCTAACTTTATTTAGGATACATCAGGTTAGGAGCCACCTAACCAGATGTATGTGCCCTATGTGAATATATAGAAAAAATCCTTATTGAAAAAAAATTGTGCATGGAAGAAAGAAATCGTTTTAGAACTTCACTTGAAAAATGAGCTTTTCATCGCCCTGTACATGTTACATATTAATACATAGTTTCTATGAGTTCACGGCAATATCCTAACTATGCCGAGTACAGGCGTTACCACCGATACAACAAGGCCAGCAGACTCTGACGTAAACAGCTCGTGACGTCACCAAGAGAGGCCAGTGTTTTATTTTATCGCTTGTCGACTAACGCGTCAGTTCGTGTTCATTCATCAGTGATTCACGTATGTCTTTGAAACGGTCCCGAATTCTTTTGTTGTTTATGCATCAAAATAATTGGCGGAAAAATTACTGTTTTGTGAAATATTTTGTGTTGTGATCGGCGAAATAACAATGCCTTTCAAGTGTTGTGTTCCCTTTTGTCGGGGGAATTATGTGGGTGGTTCAAAAGTTCATTCTTTTAGTTTCCCGTTGGACGAGGAGCTATCGAAAATGTGGGTATATGCAATTCACCACGAGGATTTTACTCCATCTAAGTTCAGTAGTAAACAGAGCTTAATTTATAATGATGAATAAATAATAGAAGACAATTACTCTCTCATAAAAAATATAAGTAGAGGAAAAATAGAAAAGCTTTGATTGTGCAGTTAGTTTTGTATTCGTATATTATAGTCAACAAAATCATCCCTGAATTCGAGGAAATTTTCTTGAATGTTCATAATAAACGGGCATTTTTAATTCTCATTCTCAAATTTCTTTCTGAAAACGGTCATTTGCCTCGTGGCAATGAATGCAGAATTCATTCCAATGATCAAATTGCAACTATCATATTAACATGAACTACAAACACTCTGTCTTCTGGATGGCATTAAGAACAAATTTCCCTTCTTTTTTCATCATATTGGACAATTTATAATATATAATATGATTTTCTTGAGATGAATCCATATTTAGTGAAAAGAAGGAAGAATATCATTCAAAATAATGGAGTGTGTAATGTCATTCGAAAGCAATCTATTGACATTTGACATCTCGTATTTTGATTGACTATTGAGTAAATGGTCGTCATCTGGAATGCTTGTTCACTAAATATGAAAAACTCGCCATAAAAATCATATTTCCTGTTGAATTTTCTATATAAAAATGTGCCATCGAAGTACATCATGAGTATATAAAGTGTCCAATGACAAAATAAGAGCAAGTAGCTTCAAATGCCCCCAACACAAGGGGAGAAAGAAGGCGAAATTTCGAACTTTTTCTTGAAATATCTCAATAAATAGTGGTTGTTCACATTTTCATTATAAAATTCGGTTTTTCAGACAAAAATACGTGAGACCGAAAAAAATTTTCAAAAAAAAAACCATCGCATGATAAATGCAGGTTTACCCTTAAAAATTACGGTTTCAAGTGTAACGATCCACTTGGGTGAAAAATCCAACAACAGAAAATTGAAAACACTCACTGGTTATTTTTTCAGGTAATAGGAATTCTCCAAGATAAATATAGGTAATTGTAACAAACGGCATGGCAATCAAAATAAAATACATTTTCCACAATTTTCTTTCGATCAATCTCACGATAAGTTTATGTTCTGCGGGCCCTGTATAAGTAGGTGTGAAGTTTACCTTCACCACAATTTTTGCCAATATATTTAATTCGAATGGGTGGCTGTGGGTGGATATTTGTGTTTTATCCTGGTTTTTGCTTTAAAACTTCGTTTTTCCATAATAAAATCGAATGGGGTGCGAAGAAGGGCTCAGTTGACGACTGGCATCCTTTTTTAACCGGAAGCCCTTCAAAAAACAGCAAAATCGGCTCAATGATGATCTAAAACTAAAATCGAAATACGCGGTCGCCTTATAGCGCTATAAGCGCTTGTCGTTTCGACCCGCTGGTTAGGCCTCACTAAGTGACGTCACCCACGGAGCATGCAGGCCTTGTTGTATCGGTGGTAACGGTACAGGACCACAATGACCACTTATACAGGGTGATTCATTAAGAATGGGAAATCTCTGTGTACTACAGATAGTAAACACTAAAATATTGAGATTTATCCTAACATGCCTCATAAGGTGGCTGGTTTAGTAGATACAGGGTGTTCTAGGGGAAAATGTCATTTCAAAATTTCTCAATAACTTTGTAAATCTTGTAGTTCCAGGTTTTCTGACATGAGGATGACGAATTTTCAACCTATTTTGTGTATGCTCATAGAGGGTGTCATGTCCAAAATCTCAATGTTTTAGTGTTTACTATTTGTTTAGCAAGCTGAATGCAATGTAGTCTATGCACTTTATCCATAGACAACAGTTTGTTTTCCCCCAGTTTGAAGTTCGTTTTATGTAACCTAGATGTCGCCAACTTCGTGAATCTCGCGTATATTTTGAAGTCAAAACAAATTCATGCTTTGTCAATAAGAATTTTTTTTCTTCGACAATAAAGTACATTTTGAATTGAATTGAATATTAAAAAGCCCCCCACCACCTACCACCCCCCACCCCTACTCACTATCCCTATTCCGCCTCTCCTCGCGCATCTTCTTCGACCGCTGGTAGGTGTCGGTGCTTTTGGCGTCGAGCGTCGCATGGCGCTTCTCGGACATGCTCTGTCTGCCGAAGGCGTCGCGCGTGAATCCCTGCGCCGCCTCCAGCGACAGCTGACTGGCGTAGGTGGCGTCCGTCGGCGGGACGGTCGACTGCGAGGAGTCGGTGCTTTTGTTGGTGGCAGGAGAGGTGGGTTCGCGGTCTTGCCGGGTTTCCAGCGTGTTGGCGGGGATTTTGTTGGTTATGTGGACGTTGATTCTGGAACGAAAAAGAGACAGTCTAAACATGGTTGTTTCAGTTGAGAAACTTATGGCGAATTTCATTCATAAACTTTACCAAGTTTATATATATATAATCTCTTAGTGTTTGTACATAATAATAAAAGGAACTATCAGTTTGCCAGCTCACAAACTCGACAATCTTCCAGTCTAATCATCCTACCCCCACACAACACAACATTATTCCAAAAGAGCGCTCATTACATGGGTGCTAAATTATATAATGTGCTTCCGATATAAAGAACTACAATTCTAGAATATTCAAGATAAGAATAAAAGAAATTTTAATTACTAAGGCTTACTATACAGTTAGTGAATACCTTATGGATGATAATTTCGCCCCAACAAATAATGTTTGAGGATTTTTTTTCTCTATCTTTTTTGAACCAAAAATATTCATTATGAACAACGTATTTCCTGTTCTATCTAAATAGGTATGTCTACTCCTGTTAGCGATTTTTCTATTCTGTCATAAATTATTATTTTTTGTACTTGGTCAAGTTTACATTTGTTAACTCTCGAACTTATTCCTACACATGTGTACCATGTTTTTTTGGAAATAAATCTATTCTATTCTATTCTAAACCGGGTGGTGCTATAAGGAAGCTGCCATAAATAAGTTTTTATCGTTCATTAAACTCTATGCACTCGGTTTTAGGGGAAATATTTTGAACTGGTTATCCTCCTATCTTAATATGTGAAAAATATGTGTCAATACGACTTATTATTCAAGATCCTACTTGCCGACCTGTCTCGCACGGCAAGAAATAGTTTTTGTTGGAAATTAGAATTATATTAAATGAGGTGTTTTTAAGACAGGTTAATAAATTAGTGATCAAGGACCACCTCGTTTACAGTGTACTGGTTTTGCACCAGTTTTGCACCCGCACTACTTTAGTTCTCTCCAAAATGTGAACTGGTGCATTCCCAATGGAATACGAAATAATATTATAATAAAATTATTGTTGGAGGTTAAACCGGATAAGTTTATTGTTTATTGTTTATTGAAAAAATAGCTTCCAGTCAGAAATAAAATTCTGGTATTAGGAAGTTGATTACAAACAACAATAATTAAATAATATAAGGTGACAACAACAACAACAAAAATATCTAAAGAATCTAAAAATGCTAAATCGATCAAGTCATAAAAGTAGCCACCGTGACTAATCAATAGATGGCAAAGTATAAATTTTATCCATTTCGTAATGAAATCATGTATTTTTTCAATTCGATTTTAAATTTTGAAATATGTCTGCAATTCTTTATATTATGTGGTAATTTATTAAATTCAGCTAGAGCAGCGTGAGTAAATTTTGGTTTGTCTATGTTTATAACTTGTCTGCATCCTGAAATCATTTCTCAACTACAATTATTAGAAACAAAGTAGATGTTTCATGGTAATAATTTTGAGCACTTTATTTTTTATAAAGTACTCTTCATCATTGAATTCGCAAAATACTTTCAACAAAATTATGAAGTCTGGGAAGTAATCTTCCTTATTTTCTTGAAACCTCCAACTTTTCATCACTGTTTGATGATGATCGGATTGCCACTAACAATTTGGTTTTCAAACTATTCATATTCAATGTTTCCGCCATTTTTAAATTGCACTGATTTTACAATGGAATTCAAAATCCGACACCAGTTTAACCAATGGAATACAAAATATGCACTCAGTGCGAGCCAGTTTTACCAATGCAATTCTCTATTAGTAGGCAACATTCGTCCTTATTGCAACAGTTTCCTGTACCATGGAGAACCATTTGAATCAACCTAGTATATTTCAGATAAGAATGAAGTAAATGGCAAAGAAAGCAGAGCCCACTTCATACTAGTAAATCCACCAAGTACATATATTTTTTTTATCGCTTGCATTGCGGTATCGTCAGAAACGGCTTGGTTTGTAGTTTTGAAGGTTAGTTTAGATTGTTTCTCGTAGTTTTCATTGATTATTCGTGAAACTCAGTGTCGAATGATTCGTCAGTGTCAAATGTGCGAGAACTAGACAACTTAGACAAACATTTTGGGCGACTACATAAATAACAAACTGAACTGAAAAATTCAAATTGATTATGTTGGAAAAAACTAGCGTCTAATAGTTCCAAAATATGAAAAACTTGAAAATTTAGGTACATTCTATCCTTTTCTGAACAAGTTCACCAATATAATACGATTTTCAAAATATACAAAAAAGACTTACTGTTGATTAGGATTGGTCATCACTCTAGATCCATACTCGTCTTCGATTAGAATTGGTTCAGCCGGTATCATATTTACAATTGTGCTGTTTCCATAGGAAGTGTTCCCCAGCATACTGGTCGTCCAAGTGTCATGAGTGGCCTAGAAGATTATTGAAGGTGAGATGAAAATACAAAGACAACACACTATTCTCTACGGAGAGTACCTTGTATTCTGACACTTTCATGAAACCAACAGAAATCAATAATCTGAATGGCGCCCGAGACCTTTAACTTGAAGACGTTATTATGTGAATCTTGATGTTCACATGGTCTTATTCAATTGTCTCAAAATATAAATCGCTCAAGATAAATTGAAGACAAAATGAGTCTTTATTCATCAGGATCAAGTGACATTTGGAAAGATTATTTACTCTACAACACCGACAGTTTTTTAAGGTACCTAATGAAATTAAAAGATCAACTCAGTGGATTGAGGAGTTTATGTATGACATGATAGTATCACAGTTACCTTATAATAGCTTTCATTTCTCAGTTGCTGCTGTTGCTTTGAATTTCCGGTGATCCTCTCCAAGACAGGGTTCCACGTATGCATAGGACTCATCACATTGCTATTGCCATTCTGAGATATCTCAGAGATATTGGATACCACTCCTTGCGGGTTGAAGATGACTGTATTCGTTGAGCCTCCGCTAGTTCCAGAGTTGTCCACAGAATTACTATCACTCTTTTCCTGAAACAACACAGATTGATATAAGGTGACTGAAATGAAACAAAAAAAAAAATAGCCAAATGAGTGAATCATAATTCCAACAGCAAATTATTGAAGCTGCACCAATTTTTTCCTGAGTGAAAACAACTTCATCAGTTTCAGGAAAAAGCCAAATACTCAAATTAAAATTCAATGGTCACAAAGACAGATAAACTCAAAGTCATTACCACAATAGTTCATAAAATGGACGAAAATGGTAGATAACGAGAGAAAAACAACTACTTTCCTGGCTATATGCCATGCTGAACATTAGATTACTTTACCCGAAATCTATCCAAACATTCGTATAGACGAATAAAATGGCAAGTGTTTCCTTCCTAAAAGCTGGAAAACCATCTATAACAACAAATACCATGAATTATTCTTATTACTACGATAATTAGCAGTGCTGCCACGTTCATCTTGAATCAACAATAACTAACTTTAATTATGAAAGTCTGAGTTTCTGACACTTATAATTATGTTGAAAATTGATATTTTCTGAATTTCAATTGACTAATCTGAATTTCAACTGACGCTTTCTGAATTTCAATTAACCAATCTGAATTACAAATGAGGTAGTCTAAATTACATTGACCCGTTCTGAATTACAAATGATACATTCTGAATCACAAATGACACTTTCTGAAGTTCAATTGCCGCTTTCTGAATTTCAATTGACGCGTTCTGAATTTCAATTAATTAATCTGAATTACAATTGACTCTTTCTGAATTTCAATTGACTGATCTGAATAACATTTGATATTTTCTGACATGAAGTTGTAGTCATGTTGTAGCCATCTAGTGGCAAAGCTCTAAGGTAGGATACAGAGATCGCGACACACACTGTATGGCGCTGCCATCTATAGTCACACGTACAGACCCCTACGTCTATACGCTACAGAGTGGTACTACAAGTGAACCACTCTGCTAATCTGAATTACAAATGATATTGTCGGAATTATACTTGACGCTTTCTAAATTACAATTGGAAAAGGTGTAGACGTTAGTCTGTTGGATTGTGAAATAATCAGTTCACTCCTGCTCTAAATGACATCCTGTGAATAGGAATTGTTTTGTTAGTTTTTGACTTATTATAATTAATGATGTAATTGAGTGTCTGAAATAAAATATACTTGTCATCATTGAAAAGTAGTTCTCAAAAGAACTGTGTACTTCTGCCGATTTACTAGATAGTTACGCAACTTACCTGAGAGTGGTTGTCCAGACTGTCGCCAGAGGCGTCCTTGACGCTGGAATCGGGCGACGAGGCTCGGCGAGCGACGGCGAGCGTGATGTGGCCGGGCACGGGTCCCTCAGTGCTCGGGATGGCGCTTTTCAGCGTCTCCATCGCGTCGCTGTTCGACTGCTGCAGCAGCGAGATGCCGTTCACGTTCAGCAGCTGGTCGTTGGTGCGCAGCCTGTCAGGGGAAATACCACGAATATAAGAAGAGAGAAGACGAAATTGTTTACATTTTGTTATGATCCAACATCGTTTTGAGCAGAAAACGATGATGGCCAATTTCTGCGGACTGCCCTAGATTTTTTTTATGTTGTGGTTCCCACGAAAAGGGATTTCCTGTAATGTTCAGAAAACATCGTGAGAACCAAGGGAAATAAGGTAGGAATTGGTGTTCTTCTTGAATTTCTGGAGGTTATATGCCTCAGGAAACACCTCATTTGACAGTGTGTACCAGAGCCTCGCTGTTCGTTGGATGAACGAGTCTTTGGAAAGAGATGTTCTGCAGGTCTCCAAAGTGACCACGAAGGGGTGCGAAGCCTCAACTCGACGGGTTAATCTCGCGGGGACTGCCAAGGGAGGTACAATTATTGATATTTCAGAAGAGCATCGTCCATGAAAATATCTATAAAATAGAGCCATATCGCCAACTTTTCTACGGTGTTCCAGAGAAGTGAGTGACTTTGTGAGCGAGACATCACCCACGAGACGAATTTTCAGGGTATGTTTGGTTGCTGCACTCCAAATATGGGAACAGTTTTCCAGGACAGTTCGGTTCTGTGCCTTATAGATCATAAGCAGCTGACTGGGGGTGAAATAGCTCCTGGCCGGAAACAGAAAACCAAGTTTGTGGGATGCACTTTTAGCAATTGATCTCACGTGATTTTTCCAAGAAAGGTTATTGCTGATAGTAATACCAAGCATCGAAAAGGGTGTCTTCAAAGGTATGGTTACTCCGGACAAGCTTGTGTTGGGCAGAGTGAGATCGGCTTTTCTAGAGAAAAGGCATGCTCGTGTTTTGTTGCATTGAAATCTACCAAGTTATTGGATCCCCATTCGAGAATTGTTGCCATATTTAGTCAATATTTATGTTATCAACATGTCTCCCTCGTTCGTTTCTGATTTGCCTGGTTGGTATTGGAGCCCTGGAAGAGAAGGCGGTATGGAGGGTACTATCATCCGCGAAGTTGTGTACAGGAGATGAAGTTGCTTCCAACAAATCGTTGATATGGAGTAGCAATAGTTCTGGTGCTAGAATTGATCCTTGCGGAACACCAGTATTTATGGTAAGAGAGTCAGATGAAACTCCGTCGACCACTACATGGTGAGACCTGCTTGAGAGAAAACTAGCTAGCAGAGAACATAGCTGGGGAGGCAAGCCATAAGATAGAAGCTTGGCGAGGAGTCCGTGGTGCCAGACTCGATCGAATGCTTGGAGATATCAAGTGCCACTGCTCAGGTTTCACCATATTTTTCAATAGATTGCTGTCATATATGTGAGACGTAAGCGAGCAGGTCACCAGTTGATCTCTGATGACGGAAGTCATATTGCCTATCGTTGATAATACCTGAATGTTCCAGGTATTTCATGAGCTCGTTGTTGATAGCTTTCGCCATGATCTGTGAAATAATAGATAGCAGTGCGATCGGTCTGTAGATGCTAGTTGTTTGATGAACTGATTGTTGTGGTATCGTCTGCAAAAAGTATGACTTTGCTATTGTTAATATGATGGGATAGATCAACATATATTAGGAAAAAAATAGGGCCCAATATATAGCCTTGGGACACCCTATTTTTCATCGAGACTTTACTGGATACATAACTTTTATGTGTGACATAATGTTGCCTGTCAGCTAGGTAAGATGACATTAAGTTGCTACTATTTATGCTAAAGTTACACTGTTTCAGTTTCAACAGTAGTAAATCATGCTGAAGGCATTCAAAAAATAGTGTCTTCGGTTATTTAAGTAACTTTCTCTTTCCACCAATAATGGTAGGTATATTCAGACTTTTTAACAATACTTGAAAACTAACATGAGCGTTTTCTTCTTACAGATTTTTTTCTTTTTGTAAATTTGCTGATGATTAACGATTTAACCTTCGAAACATATCCTTTTGTCCATTATTAAATTGTTTATGTGGTGGAGTTGTGACTGTGAGTTCTTTCACCCCTCCTGATGTATATCACCTCCACTGTAAGTTACGGTGGTTGCAATCAAATGCTTTAGTTAGGTCTCATGAAAGTCAGCAAGGACACACATACCACTTACAAAACCATTATTCATGATTGGCACAAGTTCATTTATCGCGAGATTTGTTGAGAGATTCTCACGAAAGCCAAGACCAAATCCTACCTGTTGTCCCTGGAGGCGGCCCCGCCGAACATGACTCCCTTGATGAAGATGCCGAGATCCTTGGCACCGCTCGTCTTGCCCTTGACGCTGATGCCGAGGCCGGCCTTCTCCGAATCGTGCACGGGGATGTTGAAGGTGAGGATCTCGCGGTGCTTCCACGGGAACACCATGCTTTCGTCGATCTGGTCCAGCGGCTGGAGGAAGTCACGATCAGACGATTCATACCAAATAATATCACACCTAATAATTATACACCGCGGTCCGATCAACGCTTAGAACGCTTGTCAATATTCACCGTGAGTCATTATGACGTCATGGATTACGTCACTCCTCGCGCTCAGAGTGCTCAAAGTTCAGAGTTGGAGCGGTCTAAGCGCTGCTGTCAATAGTGTCACTACTGTCACTTAATACTTGAAAAAGTAAACGTGGGGAATAAAAACTGATATAAATACTGTTTTACAGAATACAGAGACAACTACAAGGTATCAGAATCAATTAGTATCTTTATGTATAGAATTGAACGAACGCGTTATATTATGCAACTGCTGCATCAGCTTCCTCATCATCAGTACTTGACGAAGAAATATTATTTCGATAACGGTGTCGTCATCACTGTGTCAATAATGAGAAAAATATTCACCAAAGTTTTCATTTTTTTATGGACTATAATTTGTGTTGATGAGCGCGCTCTAAATTCGGTCCAATTCAATAGTCGTCAAAGCGTGCAAACCAATTCGGACCAGCAGTGTCTAACACTAGCGCGCTCAAAACAATAAGCTCAATTCGGACCGCGGGAATAATCTCTACCAGAATGTCAATAACAAATCAATCTAAGCAACAGATAACATTGATATTTTAGGTGTAAATCTTGACCTTTATCGCCGATAAAACAAGGCCTGTACGCTCCGAAATTCTTGATGTCTTGGAAGTATATGGGGTGGGGTGTCCAAGTTAAGGATATCTTTCATGGGGTAAAGTTGCCGATGGTTTCTCCGAATCGAAACGTCGTACAGAAAAACTCTCAATGCTGTTTTGTAGAGCTTAAAAAGTGGCAATGAAAAAGTGTCTTTTGTTATCCTATATCTTTTCAAATAACGTCAAAAAAAATTAAAACGAACACCATAATAGACATTCTTATCTTGCACACAGTGCAACCGAACCGTACCTATCATTTTTTGAGAAGTTCGAGAATATAGATTCAGAATTTCAAAATCACCTCAATCAAATCATCAAATTGATGTATTTCTAGGAACATTCTTGCAAACCTGGAACAGCATATATCTACCATTTATATTTCTTCAGAGTTCATAATCAGTATCAACATTCATAAATTAATGCCTGTAAGCTCCGAAATTCTTGATGTCTTGGAAGTATATGGGGTGGGGTGTCCAAGTTATATAAGGATATCTTTCATGGGGTAAAGTTGCCGATGGTTTCTCCGAATCGAAACGTCGTACAGAAAAACTCTCAACGCTGTTTTGTAGAGCTTAAAAAGTGGCAATGAAAAAGTGTCTTTTGTTATCCGATATCTTTTCAAATAACGTCAGAAAAAAATAAAAACGAACACCATAATAGACATTCTTATCTTGCACACAGTGCAACCGAACCGTACCTATCATTTTTTGAGAAGTTCGAGAATATAGATTCAGAATTTCAAAATCACCTCAATCAAATCATCAAATTGATGTAATTCTAGGAACATTCTTGCAAACCTGGAACAGCATATATCCACCAGTTATATTTCTTCAGAGTTCATAATCAGTATCAACATTCATAAATTAATGCCTGTAAGCTCCGAAATTCTTGATGTCTTGGAAGTATATGGGGTGGGGTGTCCAAGTTAAGGATATCTTTCATGGGGTAAAGTTGCCGATGGTTTCTCCGAATCGAAACGTCGTACAGAAAAACTCTCAACGCTGTTTTGTAGAGCTTAAAAAGTGGCAATGAAAAAGTGTCTTTTGTTTTCCTACATCTTTTCAAATAACGTCAAAAAAATATAAAAACGAACACCATAATAGACATTCTTATCTTGCACACAGTGCAACCGAACCGTACCTATCATTTTTTGAGAAGTTCGAGAATATAGATTCAGAATTTCAAAATCACCTCAATCAAATCATCAAATTGATGTAATTCTAGGAACATTCTTGCAAACCTGGAACAGCATATATCCACCAGTTATATTTCTTCAGAGTTCATAATCAGTATCAACATTCATAAATTAATGCCTGTAAGCTCCGAAATTCTTGATGTCTTGGAAGTATATGGGGTGGGGTGTCCAAGTTAAGGATATCTTTCATGGGGTAAAGTTGCCGATGGTTTCTCCGAATCGAAACGTCGTACAGAAAAACTCTCAACGCTGTTTTGTAGAGCTTAAAAAGTGGCAATGAAAAAGTGTCTTTTGTTTTCCTACATCTTTTCAAATAACGTCAAAAAAATATAAAAACGAACACCATAATAGACATTTTTATCTTGCACAGAATTTCAAAATCACCGCAATCAAAAAGAAATTGATGTAATTTTAGGAACATTCTTGCAAACCTGGAACAGCATATAGGCTACCATTTATACAGAGTTTATAATCAGTATCAACATTCATAAATGCATGCTTGTTCATATGAGTTATAACATGCAAATGTACTTACTGAAATATAAAAAGAATTACAGCTAATGAAAATTAGCAATGAAGTAAAATAGGTTAGATTCGTTAGCTTTTGAAGACAAAAGGTGTAGATGCAGGAAAAAATATCTTATGTTAGTGGGTGAGTCAGAGGTCTAACTACAGAGCGAGCCATGCAGTATTCATCTGATAAATATTTACATTGGTGCTGGCGCCCTCTTCGTATTGGGAAATGAATTTGGCCACCGAAGAGCCCTTGTCCGGCGACCTGCTTTGCAGGGCCTGCAGGTGGCTCTGCGGCAAGGGGGGAATGTTGGGCGGGACTTCGACGGTTCGCTCTTCTCGATCGTCTTTCAGGTCGACGTCCTACGCGGAAAACAAATACATAACACTAAGTGACAAACACTGCGAGAGAGGAAGTTTCCAACAAAAAATAATGTCAAGTTTCCGCAAAGTTTATAAACAAATATATCATAAAGGGAGCGACAGATTTTCTGATCACAAATAGTGAGAAAGTGATTTTTGAGATCGCAAATGAGTTATTATCTCTTATATCCCTACTCCCTAGCAGCAGAATCATCATTGTTATTTTTTTTCAGGGTCACGAATGTCTTTGTTGATAGAAAATTATCTAGAGTCGAACAGGAGGGAAATTTTCTATCATAAAAACATGAGTGAAACCAAGAAAAAAATTATCAGGAATTAATTCGGCTGCCAATAGATATGAGGTGCTTTATTTTTGACAAAAAAAAAACAAGTAACTATAATTTTCATCGATTCAATCTTCCGTTGGAGCCTACTGATTGGTTGAAAATAAATTTATGAAATTTTTCAAAGTATTGAACAAAATCATTCATATTTTATATGTCCATGAATTCTAAATTGTGCTTCATACACAGCACCAGCTAGTTTCTATATTAGGCGATTCAAAATAAACAAGACTTCCTTTGATAGAAAACAAAAGATAGAACAGAATAATTATATAGAAACATTTTATTTCATCAATTATGATGACACATTAAACTCGCTGTTTTGTTCCAGTGCAGTTCCAAATTAATCTAAAATCAATTGGATTATGTTACAACTAATGCAACTACCCGTTTTCATCTTGATGAACAGATGAATATCTGTTTTGTGAACATCATGTTTGATTGGTACAAAATTTCAGTTGATAGTTGGGTGGAAATCAACTTGACCTGGATATTTTGATAATATCAGCCAAAATGGCTCACAAGTCCCTATTTCAACTTTTGATTCACTATCAAAAGTTGAAATAGGGTCATGTGAGCCGTTTTGACCGATAATGAACAGTTTTCGATTGTGAACACCCTATATCGATGAAATCAGTTCTTCAGGGAGAATCTTAAAATGCGATAGAATACAGGGTGTTCTATTTGAAATATCAATGTTGCTACTACTTTCTTGTAGAAGCGGCCACACTGTATCGTCGAAAATATTTTAAATCAGGAAAGCGTATTTTAAAATATGAGCTGCACACTTTCATAGATTTCTCTGGACTGATTCTCGATATTAAGATAGTGTAAGCTCCTCGTGACTTACCCTGTATAGTCTGAAATTCAATTTCATGAGAATTAATCAGAAGGAAACTTCCTCTTCGCTGAGCAAAATAGTGAACAGATACATATAATAGTTTCAATAATGCTGATTTTGAAAAATAAAGTACAATTACATAAGTGAATATCCCTTCTACTGCCTAATGGATTATTTCAGTGCAATAAAATGTGACTAATTGACTGAAACCAATTTCTAATAATATTTTGACAAACTAGATTCAGATCATTATTAGAAGCACACATATGAAACAAACAATTTTCAATAACAACTATTTCTACAGATAAACTCACAATTATCCTCGGAAGACTACTATCTACAACATCCTCTTGCCTGGACACCACTATTTTTACTTTGCTTCCCAAAGGTAGACTTTTAAGTAGCGCCACTGCCTCGCTTTGCGTTTTCCCGCTCATTTCTAAGTTGTTAACTTCCAGAAGTCTGTCGCCTATTTTCAGTCTGCCATCCTCAATGGCAGGACCCTGGAAAACCCAAGAATATCATGACTTTGAATCAACCATTTCGGGAAATTTTAGGATTTTGAATGGAAAAAATCTACAGGAATACAAAATATTTAGCCAAATTCAATAACTTTATCAGAAACTAGCAGATCTCGCAAACGTTGTTTTGCTATACAGTGTGTCCCACTTACCATGCTCACCATGGGTATCTTTTTAACGGTGAGAGATACGAGGTTGGTTAAATGACACCAAATGTGGAGTTTGTCAAGGCCAACTATAATGTGAAAAAATATTTTGATAGAATCTATTCGTTTTTGTTTTATACGCAAAAAACAGATTTTGATCATTTTCATGTCTCCTCCGTAACTTCTTTATTTATGAAAATATTCGAATAGGAATTTCACATTCTCATGGTTGTTTTTCAAAGTGAATTCGAAAAAAATATGAAATTCATACAAACTCTTCTAGAATTTGAGATATCAGCACCAACTTTAGTTTTTCAAATGTAGGTCATAGCTCACTATGACTTAGTTACAAATAACTTTTTTTTCTCTTACAGATGATATGTGGCAGTTATAGTTTTGTGTTGATAACAACGGAGTTATCGTCATTTATACAAAAACAAAAAAATATTTGGAAGCCGCCATCTTGAATTTATAAATTTTAACAAGAAAATCAGGATCTCCGACCTCAAAAACCCTCACTAACCAATTTTGAATGGAATCGGACCAAATCTTAACCGCCATCAATTTAAAAAAATGGCTGCTACAAGATGGCGGACAAGATTTGGTCCGATTCCGTTCAAAATTGGTAAGTGGGGGTTCTTGAGGTCGCAGATCATGATTTTTTTGTTAAAATTTATAAATTCAAGATGGTGGCTCCCAAATAATCTTTTATTTTGTATAAATGACGATAACTCCGTTGTTATCAACACAAAACTATTACTGCGACATATCATCTGTGAGAGAAAAAAAAGTTATTTGTAACTATGTCATAGTGAGCTATGACCTACATTTGAAAAACTAAAGTTGGTGCTGATATCTCAAATTCTAGAAGGGTTGGTATAAATTTCATATTCTTTTCGAAATCACTTTGAAAAACTGCCATGAGAATGTGAAATTCCTATTTGAATATTTTCATAAATAAAGAAGTTACGGAGGAGACATGAAAATGATCAAAATCTGTTTTTTGCATATAAAACAAAAACGAATAGATTTTATCAAAATATTTTTTCACATTATAGTTGGCCTTGATAAACTCCACATTTGGTGTCATTTAACCGACCTCGTATCTCTCACCGTTAAAAAGATACCCATGCTGAGCATGGTAAGTGGGACACACTGTATTCAATACAGTATTAGAATTAATAATTATTGAAAGTACTCACCATGGCGTTGATATTTTTGATATAAATAGGACATTTTCCTCCGGCAGGATTGTCCCTAGTCGTTATACTAAATCCCAGACCTTGGGGTCCTTTAACTAGTTCGATTTCTATCTTCCTCCCAATTTTTCTTGTGTTAGCTGTTATCAAACCTTTCAGATTTTTCGAAATGGCCGGTACTTTTTTCGTGGGAGACACTGTAGCTACCTTTGTATTTGTACTCTCTAAAAAAGAGGAAATCTTCAAATATCGGATTACAAATAGTTATTTTATTGAAGAGTCTGCAAATTGATCAGCTATCAGGCAACCAGGAGAGACAATAGACAATAGAGCTGTTGTCAACTCACTCTGCGCGCGGACCAGGGTTGCCAGTTCTTATTAAATACCTTGTAAAACAGTCAGTAGATTTCAATAGATCTGTTTGAGATATATTTCCAAGAATTTCCAAGGAAGGATAATCAAATGAACCTATGACGTCAAAACATTATGTACTTTTAGTAAACAGAAGAGTAACCTATTTCCCAGAAAAAAGTAACAAACAAAACAAACATTCTCCTACAAAAGTAATCATATTCCTAATTAATAATTCAAAAATACAAATATCACAAAATACAGTTACATTAGTATCTATAAGATTTGAGTACATAAAAAATAGGAATGAATAGTAAAAACAAACAACAAAAAATACAGAACAAATAAAATAATTAAACCTAAGGAACAAACTGTTATAACGAAGGTATATAAAAAATGTAAGTTTAGTAGAACTGACAACTCTGCAGAAAAGTACTTGTCTTCGTAACTAGTCGGTTTTTCATTCGGAGATTGGAACGTAAAATGTGATTTTTTTTTGAGGTCGACGAAATTTTTTTTTAACTATTATCAGAAACTAGAATTCACTTTATGATATTTTTTCCAGTTTTCTTACGTTTTTGTTCACATTCGACCATGGAAACATTCTCTTTGTCGTCAGGATAGCAAGGATATACAGGAGGCGGTGGTTTCCTGAGGCCTTCGAGTCCAGAAGCTTTTATTACTTTCAGTCTTAATTCTGGTGAAGTAAGAGAGAGTTTGAACAAATCTTGTACTCTGAAAAATGGAAAAGGAAATTAAAAAATAATTGCTAAGTGAAATTCAATATGAGCGGGTGACCTTCCACACTATTTCAATGTGACATTAAAACAAATAGGAACATTATATATAAGATATGCACATCATCATTCTGAATATTCAACAGAAAACAACTTCTTTCTGGCTATTTGCCACGTCGAACATTGAATTATATCTGTTGAATATCCAAGAAGAGAGCATGAAAAATCAGAATCCTCTGAAATCGAGAATTGACATTATCTCTCAAAACGAATAAAATAATATGATGTATTATGATATGAAATTTTATGTTGATTAAGAATGAAATTGTCTGGGGTTTCAGGCCCACGTATTGTTTTGAAAAAAACTGCTTTAGTTAGTTGATTTATTGAGTAGAAACAAACATACAGGGATCTGTTTTGGAGGCTATCTTGTATTTATTATAATTATATTCAAAATACTTCTAAAATTGGATTGTCAGGTAATTATACTATATATGCAGATGATACTGTACTTTTATACGAAAACAAAAACCCCATCATTTAGAAAATATTATTAACAAAGATTTGAAAAAATTTGAAAAATGGCTGTATTCAAACATTTTATCAATTAATACCAATAAAACTGAATATATACCTAATATTCCATCAAAAAAATAAACAGAATATTAGTTTTAATCTCCAAATTAAAAATAAAGTATTGAAAAGAACTACACAAATAAAGTATCTTGGTATGTGGATTGATGAAAAATTGAAATGGGACAAGCATATAGAGGTTCTGATACAAAACATATCTCCAATCATTGGAGCTTCGCGAAGATGTCCTAAACTTGACAAAAAAGTCATAAATAAACATAGTACTTCATTCTCATATACTCAGTCGTATTACCTATATGATAAACATTTGGGGATCTAGTACAAAAAATTATTTCAGTAAAATATCTGCACTTTATAAAAAAGCACTGAAAGTATTGTATCGCCTCTCATTTGATATCCTAACAAATGATCTGTAGGCCAAAACAGAAAAATATTCATTGGATGAATTATATAAAATAGATTCTCTTAGAGTTTCATATAATAAACAATAATCTGAAATCCAATTTTGTTTTGATAAGAAACTCAGAAATTCGTGGTCATCACACGAGACAATTAAACTTGTTTCATCTTGATTCTGCTACTTCTATAATTGGCCAAAAAAAATTTACTCACGCTGCTGAATTTGATAAATTACCACATAATATAAAAATTGCAGACATATATCAAAATTCAAAACTGAATTAAAAAACACATGATTTCATTACGAAATGGATGAAATTGCCATCTACTTATTAGTCCCTGTGGCTATTTTTATGACTTGATCGATTTAGCATTTTTAAATTTTGTAGATTTGTTGTTGTTGTCACCGTATATTATTTTATTATTGTTGTTCGTAATCAACTTCCTCATACCAGAATTTTATTTCTGACTGGAAGCTAGTTTTTCGATAAACAATACATACATACATACCTACAGTTGAAGCTAATGAAAATTCGTTAATAATTAAAATAGCAAGAAGGAGGAAAAAGGAAACGTGAAAGAGGAAGGCAGAGGACAATAAAAGAAATGGGAGAGAAAAGAAGAGAAATAAAAGCCACCTACCTCTGGAAGGACATATCGATCAAATTCTCCCCGTTGATCTCAACCACCCTGTCTCCTACCGCGAGCCGCCCATCTCTATCGACCCGCCCACCCGGCTCGATGCCCTTCACCAGCAAACCCTGCTCGCGCCCCAGGGCGTCGTAGTCGGGCACCACGTGGATGCCGAGCGGCCCCGGCTCGTTGCCGATCACGATCGACTCGGGCAAGGCTGGGGCGGGGCGATGTTGGTGGGCGGGGCTATAGGGATAGGCGGGGCGGTGTTGGTGGGCGGGGCTGGGGGCGGTGTTGGCCTGGCCGAGCGGCTCCTTGCGGCGGGTGTCGCGCGGCAGAGAGGTGGTCAGGTGGGCGGGGCGATTGGTGGCGGCGCGGTCGGCGGCTTCTGCCCAACGGTAGCTGAAGGAAAATGATAAAATTGATATATGTTCACTGTGGAATTTGAGTGTATCCAATGATAACATGTTTTTGTTCCTCGTAAAATCACTTTCTTCGACTTGTTGTGTTGTTAATGCATTCACCTAATTGATTGGTCTTGTCGACAGTGCTGCCGTCAATGATAACATGTTTTTGTTTCTCTTAAAATCACTTTCTTCGACTTGTTGTGTTGTTAATGCATTCACCTGATTGATTGGTCTTGTCGACAGTGCTGCCGTTTCGGTTCTTTTGTACTGAACTCAATACCATTTGAGAAGCTAAACTGGGTAACTCATCGGCAGCACTCACAGTTTTTCATTTTTACTTTACATTACTAATATTTCATCTGAATAATTTCTATTAGAAGCTATGAGTAGACTCCTCTACAATCAGATTTCATCAAAATGAGGCACTTCTAGAATGTTGCTTCTACATTGGTTTTTAGGTTGACACTTGGGGCGAAGTCTCCCATTCGACAAGTATCAGTTGGATATTTATTTATCAGTTTCAACGGTTAACTCTACATTTTCCCAGTTATTTTTCAGGATGCGTCAATTCAATTTCATAAAGCGTCAATTGTATTCCAGAATAGTCACTTGTATTTTAGAAAGCGTCAATTGTAATTCAGAATAGGCGATTGAATTTCAGAAATCGTCAATTGTATTCCATAATTATTGTCACTTGTATTTCAGAAAGCATCAATAATTGTATTTCAGAATATTCAATACAATTTGAGGAAACGTCAATGGTATTTCAGAATAATCAATTGAATTTCAGAAAACGTCATTTGTATTTCAGAAAATATTCAAAATTCAATTGCAGCCTTCTGAAATACCTACAATTGATGCTTTCTGAAATACAATTGACGCTTTCTGAAATCGAATTGACTACTCTGGTGCACAATTGACTCGACAATTGACGTCTCAAACTAATTGTTTTACTGTATGTGGAAGTCTAAAGTTCAATGTATAGAATAAATTGAACCTATTCAGAGACTTGCAAGTTATTTGTGTAGCATATTTGTCCCCCCTACCAAAAATTGAAATTCAGGCAGAGACTACTAATGTGCAAGTAGGTACGTATTTGATCATAAGTAGGAAGCTTACATTGTTCCTTCGATAGAGCTATGTGAAAATAACACAAAGTTTCATGACATTATTGAACACAAAAACTATCTCCCTTTTACTTGAAGAGTTTTTCTTAGAGAACCAAAGAAATCTGAGTAGAATCAAGTGATTTTACACGTATCCACCTGATCTCACATTCATCCAAGGTGAAAAATCAAAAGCAAAATGATGATCAAACAAAAAGAATGACCTGATCTGAGAAACGTTCCGAACTCACCCAGCACCGTCGGCGCCCAGAAACTGCATCGACAACCTGTTGCTGCCCCCGTCCTTGCCCGCCCTCCTGAACCCGCCCCCCTGCCGCTCTCGCTCCTCCTCCCTCGCGTCCTCGGCCAGCCAATCCGCGCCCGTCGCGTACCCCGCCGACGCGGGCGGCTCCACGATGAGCGGGGCGGCGCTCCAGCGCTTCGGGGCGGGCGGCCCCACCCCGGCCCCGCCCACAGGGCCGCCCGGCGTCAGCTGGTTCAGGCTCGGCTCGCTGCCCCGCCGCACCTGCAGCAGCGGCACGCCCGAAGCGATCTGCTCGCCGGTCACTTCGATGTCGGTGCGCGGGTAAGAAGGGCCGTACTTGTGGTCGCCGTCCTGAAGGACCAAAATGAAGGGTTACAATTGAATCGGTCATTTCGAAAACAACCTAAGTCACATTTTTTTTGTGACGGCAAAAAATTTAGCATTTCATCTCTGTTGGCAGGTAATAAAATGTCACTTACTTTACTTAAATTACTTTTTTCCCGTGGGATGGATTTTTTTTCAGATTTTATTGAATATTTCGAAATCTTTGAGAGGTAATGCTCTGAAATTTGGGTGGCACTATGAAATGTACTTTTTTCTCCCTGTATATACACTGTTGATTGCTTTTGTTGTGCTATTGTCCCGAAAAATGAGTCAATAATACCGTCTCCGAGAAAGAACTGCAAGTCCTTTTATCTTCCATTCGACTTCGCGGTTACGTATATTACTAAACAACCACTAAATTCGCAATTTTTGAAAGCAAATCACAGAATTAGACTAACAGAGTGTCATCAGATATTTGATTACTTCAAAATAATGATAAAAATGCCTACAACGCAGGTGTCCCTACTGTTAAAAACTTAAAATTTCACGTCGATAATTTTCAGATTTCAAAATAATGTTATATCTTCTCAATATTGATTCGTCCTTTTTTTCTGTCACGAAAAAAATAGTGTATTATACGCGGGAAAAATATTCGATTTTAGCTCATGGTTTTTTTTCTCCTGGAGCTAAAATCTACTACTTTTTTCCCTTGTATAATAAATAACTATTTTTCTCAGGAGACATAAAAAACATTTCATTTAATTAGGTGGGTATTTTGAGGCCATGCTATTTTATATAGGTACGTATTGTAGGTTATGGTTAGGTACTTTTGGAAGACGAAAGGACTTTTGAAGGCGGCAAACGAATCTACTAATGATTTCATTTTGTTTTTCAACTCCTTTTTTAAAATAGGGAGAAACTTATTTTCTTTCCTCTAAGACGGCCTGACAAACTATTACTCGCTATTATTTGACCACCAGATGACATTGAAAGGGGCTTTTCAATGTCACTTAACAAGCATAGAGGTGTACTTTTACTGCATTTGTTGCTATGCAATATTCCAAGTAATAATATGAATCAGTTTTTTGAATTGACTTGGTCTTTGATGGAAATCTATAGCAAATGTAACAACTTCACAAACGATGAGATTTACACAAAATTCTTAATCACAAGACATGCTCTGCGTCAGGTGAATGAAAAAAAAAATTTGGTCCTCTCAAGAATCATGATCAAGATGCTCATAAGGTCGGTTGCATGATTCTCTTTGCACTGTTGTAACTCTTCAAGCAGCTAAGGAATGCTTTGTCATGGATATAAACAAAGAGTTGAGCTATTATCTGGTAGATGGCTATATATGTTAGCATCTTCAGGAGAAAATTAAAACAGTTTTAATCTTTTCCTGAAGATGCTATCATAGTTAGCGAAACACGTGTCGAGGCGTTTAAAAAATCGGTGTGGTTAGTAGTAAAACAGTGTAGTGTATTATCGTGCCAAAGGTTCCAGTCTTCAATATATGCTATATCTATATTTCTTAAATTAAGAACAGTTGGATACTATCAACGATTTTTTTATAGATATGTTCACTACACCACTGGATTCAGAAGCTTGGTCACACTAATGATGGAAGTAAGATATGGTGCGCGTATTCGGCCATTATTACGTATTGAAAATTTCAGAAGAAATTACTTGACCGCCTACTATGATTTCTCTACGTCACAACGAGCGAGACGTTGATTATAGATTTTCCCGCTAGATGGTGATGCTGCTATTACTGCTGTGACGAGTGGAAATAAAATGGCAAAATGGCATTTTAGGTATGCGGAACATATGTAACAATGGGATTATTCAACTCTGAATTCGAAAAATCTGCGACAATTTCAAAACTGACAGATGTCATAATTGTGCAATGTCGCCATCTATGAGAAGATCGAACCATTGCTCTCGCTGTTCTCGAGAGGTCGAGTAAAATTTCTGAAACAAAAGCGCATCAGTTATTACACCATTTATCTTACTTCCATCATTGTCACACTGTAAGTTGACAGCTTCAATAGCACCACTAATAGTTATTTAACCAACTAGTTTATTAATGAGGGCGATTAATGATCGAGATATTTTAACGTGTGAGCGAAGCGAGCACGTTAATGTTCGAGATCTTTAATCGCCTTTTAATAAACAAGTTGGTTACAAAATTTTTCCGTCGACTATATTTCTCATTTCTCCTGCAATGAAGAAAACTTGGTTCGCGAATTCATCATTCATCTGGAAACTGCTAAGAATCACCCAGTAGCCTTGTCACTGACAATAGTGAGATTTGACATTTGTCGAAATGATCAACATAGAAAATGAATTACTTGTGTTGGAAAACAGGGATTAAAATCGTGTCAGAAACTTGGAAAGGTGAACCCGCTAACAGAAAATCTTCAATGAAATCCATATTTTCGATTTAAATGCAGATTCCGTAAGTTATAGCATAAACAATGAATGCACGCGGTGTATGTTTGGTTGCCTATAAAACAATCGTACATTAATAGACAAATCGTTCATTAATAGGGGTCATTAATGAACGATTTCATATACATTAAACTTAGTCGTTAATACGAGGTCGACGGAAAAATCAATTAATAATGTTAGGTACACCCCCGTTTCCGCAAATATTGAGGAAACAAGAGAATGGTGAATCATTTTAAAACAATAGACAATCTACTTATTGATCTATAGTCGCTGTCGAATTCTAATGGTCTGACCAGCCAATCCATTGTTTTTGCGTATAATTAAGGACAAGCACTACGGGCAATGGGAACACAATGCCGAATTGCATAACGTGTCATTTTTTTTACCTAATTGTCATAATGGTTTTATCGCAGGTTGTATCGTGTAGAAACATCCTTCATGCAACCATTAATTATTATTACTAGGTACCTGATAATAATGATGCTGGTACAAGTACGACAAAATTTTATTTAAAACCAGCAATTTTATAATTATATTATCACGAAATGATTGGTATGAATTGAAGATGCGATGTTTTTTAGATAGAACGAAGTCTGGATAATTGGCAGCAGAGATTTTTCAAGTGTAGCGTGAGTGATTTCCACAGCTCAAATTGAAAAAAAAAGTTACATAGGTGTATGTAAATTACAGAATGTTTCCTCATTATACTTCAATTTTTTTACAGAACGAATAAACCTTCATATCGACAGCAAATATTTAATAATTACAGAAGAACTACTAAAGAAAAATAAATGTTCTTTTATGATTTTTTATATATATAAAACTTGCTGACCCGGCAAACGATGTTTTGCCATTATATGTAGAAAATATTTCTTCAGTGAAATATTTATCAGCACACTTTATTTTCTAATTCTTTTCAGTTCGGTTATCCGTTAGAACAGCGTGTTTCTTTAGTTTTTCAAAATAATCTATCCATTTTCTACTTCTTTTTAGTTTTGCAATCTATCTCTCAATTTTCTTGAACTACTATCCATTTTCTACTAACTTCTTTTTAGTTTGGCTATCAGAGAGTGTTTCATTAGTTTATAAACTACTATTTGTTACAATAGTTGACCCGGCAAACGTTGTTTTGCTATAAACATTTATTTCTAGAAAATATTTATCAACACACTTTTATTATGTTGTTTCCTACTTCTTTTCAGTGTGGCTATCCATTAAAACGTGTTTCATTATAGTTTTTCAAATTACTATTTATGACAAAGGTCGTTCGCCATATTGGATCCGCCATCTTGAATTTTCCACTTTTGAAAAACAAATCATAAGCTCCGATCCCGAAAACCCCTAGATACAAATTTTGTATAGAATCGGATCATAACTACAGAACTCAATCGCCATATTGAATCCGCTATCTTTACTATCCGTCATTCTGAATTTACTAATTTTGCCAAAGGAATCATAATCTCCGACTCCGAAAATCCCTAAACACCATGAATAGATTCGGATCGTAATTTGAAAAACTTGTCCGCCACATTGGATCCGTCATTTTGAATTTCCTAATTTTGACGGAGGAACCATAATCTCCGACTACGAAAATCGCCAGATCCAAAATTTGAATAGAATCGGACCATAACTCGCCATACTATACCCGAAACGTGGATGTTGTATCATTTCTATGCAATACAAAAAATAATCCGTGTGGTGAGAATATTCTACCTGCATTTACAAATCAGGTTTATTCTATTTTCAAGGATGTTTGAATTGTAGTTTCAATATAAATGCAGCCACAGAATGACCCATTTGTGTATTCTATATATTGAATCGATGAATCGAAGAATTCATTTGGACCATGTATCAGCCCTAATATCATATACCGCGTCGGCGCCAGGTATAGGAATCAGAAGAGGAAAATGTTAGGTTAGTGAACATATCAACAAAAATAATAGTTATGAATCAATAATTATTAATTTCTGTCTATATTTCACTGTGTTTGGCTCGAAAATCAAACGAAGGTAAACAACATCATTGTGTGAGACAAAATTGTCTTGTTTCAGCAGGTTTATTCAATTTTCAAGGATGTTCGAATTGTAGATTCAATATAAATAAAACCACAGAGTGACATATTTGTGTGCCAGGTATAAGAACAAGACGTCGACATGTCAGGATAGTGAGCATATCAACAATAATAATAGCGATTATTTATTCCTCCCCATACTACACTATGTTTGACTTGATAATCAATTGAAGGTAAACAATATCGTTGTTTGAGACAAAAAACTAATGCTTGCCGTGATTATTCAAAAACAAGTTATCCATCCCAAGAATAACGAATGAAATAGATCAAGCAAGTATGTGAATCTTGAAGGCTTCCCTGAACAAAACAAAAATACTTCTGAGATGACCGTGTATAATTCCTATACTTAACTATAATAAGGTGTATCCAGCATGGGTAAGAAATGTCAAATCTGCCGAAATCGGAAACAAATCTGGTATGCGTCCCAACCCAAATAACCACAATGTTGTTTATTCTCGATGACGTCTAGTACATCCTTTTTAGTTCCTATAGGAACTAAAGTTCAACATTAGCTCCTTGGAACTTAAGTTCAACTTTAACTCCTAGGAACTAAAGTTCAACTTTAGCTCCTAGGAACTAAAAGTGTTGCCTAGCAACATACCTATGTATGTATAAGACATAGAAACGTCAATTCAAGATTTTAATATTCTTAATTTTGTGTCGGTTGCAGAAACAAATAATAATGATAATACTCACGTGGAAGATGTCTGGACTGCCCGTCCCCACCGAACTGCCGCTAGCGCCGTCCCCACCCCCGTGCAGGTGCGCCCCATCGCCGTCCTCGAAGCTCGCCAATATCTGCTCCCTGTCGTCGGCAACGTCGGTCACTCTGTCATCGGCGTCCAAAATACCGCCGCCCTGCGACTGCAGATTGTGCACGGAAACCCACGAATCCGCCCCCTGCAAGAAAGGACGAGATTCATATACACTAGCTCAAAAATTGGATCTCTACTCAATCAGTAGATGGTCGAGAGCGCAAAGACGCTGAGTTCTGCTCTGCCTGTACATAAATAGGCTGTCTTTGGCTTAGCGGCCGATTCTGGGCGTGGTTTGTGAGTATAGGCGGAGATCGCGTTTTCCAGAGCGACAGTAGGCTTCGACTTTTGATTATTCCTCAACCATTCCGAATTTTTTAGCACGTCAATGTTTGTATTCAACCGTGGCCCAACTGGATTCATCTCGGAGAGGAGATGAGATTCAAGTGTCAGGGCTTTTATCACAAAACAGACAGCCCCTTGGTTAACATCAGCCAACTCCACAATGCCTGAATGTCGATGTTCTCTTTTAAATGTGTTTGTTCTTGTTTTCGAAATTGTCAAGGCATTGTCGTTCTAGATGACAACCTAGTTAGGTAGTTAGTAGGCAAGAGCTATTGTACCTCCTCACGTACTAGGTCGCCTACTAGGTTTTCATTTAGATCGACAATGGTCAAGATGATGTATTAATTTGAAGGCTGAGTTCGTAAAGGAACTCCCACCGATACATGGGTTCGAGGCCCAGTCAGCCCATGGATGTTTGTGTTTGTATGCTTCCCTAACCATGCACAAGTTTCGAATTATGGGGTGTTGGTTTCAGTGCTGGGACAAAATAGGAGATAGGGACTTTTCGAACTTCCCTTCACTGCTTAGAAGTTACACAGAATACTCTACTGAAAATACTGTTCAATAAAAACAGAAGATTTGGAACTGAGCAACTTTATAATGAAATAGGAATAATAAATCTAAAGCAGCTGTATTGCCACCAATGCCTCATCTCAATAGAACAGACCATAAAAACATATTTGAGTGACCTCTACTCAATCAGTAGATGTTAGAGAGCGCAAAGACGAAGAGTTCTGCTCTGCCTGTACATAAATAGGCTGTCTTTGGCTTAGCGGCCGATTCTGGGCGTGGTTTGTGAGTATAGGCGGAGACGCGTTTTCCAGAGCGACAGTAGGCTTCAAGTTTTGATTATTCCTCAACCATTCCGAATTTTTAGCACGTCAATGTTTGTATTCAACCGTGGCCCCACTGGATTCATCTCGGAGAGGAGATGAGATTCAAGTGTCAGACAGCCCCTTGGTTAACATCAGCCAACTCCACAATGCCTGAATGTCAATGTTCTCTTTTAAATGTGTTTGTTCTTGTTTTCGAAATTGTCAAGGCATTGCCGTTCTAGATGACAACCTAGTTAGGTAGTTAGTAGGCAAGAGCTATTGTACCTCCTCACGTACTAGGTCGCCTACTAGGTTTTCATTTAGATCGACAATGGTCAAGGTGATGTATTAATTTGAAGGCTGAGTTCGTAAAGGAACTCCCACCGATACATGGGTTCGAGGCCCAGTCAGCCCATGGATGTTTGTGTTTGTATGCTTCCCTAACCCTGCACAAGTTTCGAATTATGGGGTGTTGGTTTCAGTGCTGGGACAAAATAGGAGATAGGGACTTTTCGAACTTCCCTTCACTGCTTAGAAGTTACACAGAATACTCTACTGAAAATACTGTTCAATAAAAACAGAAGATTTGGAACTGAGCAACTTTATAATGAAATAGGAATAATAAATCTAAAGCAGCTGTATTGCCACCAATGCCTCATCTCAATAGAACAGACCATAAAACCATATTTGAGTGACCTCTACTCAATCAGTAGATGTTAGAGAGCGCAAAGACGAAGAGTTCTGCGCTGCCTGTACATAAGTAGGCTGTCTTTGGCTTAGCGGCCGATTCTGGGCGTGTTTTGTGAGTATAGGCGGAGATCGCGTTTTCCAGAGCGACAGTAGGCTTTGAGTTTTGATTATTCCTCAACCATTCCGATTTTTTTAGCACGTCAATGTTTGTATTCAACCGTGGCCCCACTGGATTCATCTCGGAAAGAAGATGAGATTCAAGTGTCAGGGCTTCTATCACAAAACAGACAGCCCCTTGGTTAACATCAGCCAACTCCACAATGCCTGAATGTCAATGTTCTCTTTTGAATGTGTTTGTTCTTGTTTTCGAAATTGTCAAGGCATTGTCGTTCTAGATGACAACCTAGTTAGATAGTTAGTAGGCAAGACCTATTGTACCTCCTCACGTACTAGGTCGCCTACTAGGTTTTCATTTAGATCGACAATGGTCAAGGTGATGTATTAATTTGAAGGCTGAGTTCGTAAAGGAACTACCACCGATACATGGGTTCGAGGCCCAGTCAACCCATGGATGTTTGTGTTTGTATGCTTCCCTAACCCTGCACAAGTTTCGAATTATGGGGCGTTGGTTTCAGTGCTGGGACAAAATAGGAGATGCAATTAAAAGAATAGGCAATGAAAAGTTAAAGTCACTAATTTTAGAGCGATTTTACCTAATAATTGGTAAACGAACAGTCAGTCTTCTTCAACGTGGAAACAGTAAACAGTATATTTTTGGGAAAAACATGTCGGCGGTTTCACGTCAACACAATCTTTTATAATTCTGAATGAAGAATTTCGAAGTGAAGGAATATCCGGATCTATCTGGTCATCGACGAAATGAAGACCCGAGCAGTCGAGTCCGAGAAGCCTTTTTTATTTATTTATTTGAAACAAACAGGTAGTAATACCTAATTACATGTACCTACCTATCAAAACTAGCCTATGTCATCATTACAAATGAAAATATACGTCTCCCAATCCCAGGTTATTGAATAACAATAACAAAGTTGTATTATTTGTGACTTTCAATACACGTTGAAGGACAAAAAATTGTAAAATAATAATAATAATAATAATAATAATACCATCAAAATAGAGATACCCAGAAGTTACATATACAATGGCTGTCCCAACTGAACGTCTACAATTGGCAACTGTGCCATACCATCAAAGACACAACACTGTCGAAGCCAGCAAAGTAGCATCATCTCCGAGGCTCTTTGAGTTGGAAAGATGGAAAAGTTTTGTCCAACTGATCGATCAGCATCAGTCTTGATGGTAGTGTTTTGCATAAAAACAATCTAATTCTCTTCTAAGCATTTTATTTCAGCTAAGTGTATTATTGGAGTACTAAGAAATTTTATTTGCATGGCTATATCTGTGAAGTTTGGACACTGGGTATGTTCAAGTCAGTACTGTGTGATGGCATTAAACAATACAATCGTTCAACACGAATCAGCGCCTTGGAAAAGAGAGGGAATTTAAGGTATTTTTTTTATCGCTTGGAGCGCATGAGAGGGAATCCCTATAATGTTCAAAGAACATCGTGCGTTCCTAGGAATGCCTTATCACAAGTTCGCGATTCATCGATTTCAAGTCAATACATCAGAATAGAAGTGCCTAAATCTTTTGAACTATTCCCATCACGTGATATGTTGAGATTCGTGTTTTCGGATGAATATTTTTCGCAATAAAAAATAGCTATGGAACACAAGTCAAAAGTGAACGTTTCGTTATTTTGTAATCATCAGTTAGTCAGTTAGTCACTGCATACATTATTGAATTGATCGATAAAAAAACGTTTTGTTTTACTTGTTTTTCAAATCGAATATGTGATGATGATGATGAATAGCATTATTTTGATTATTTGGGTGTCCTGACAAATGTATCGTTGGATTCAGGTTCATACAGGATGTCCCATTTGAAAATCGAAAGTTGATCAAAACTGCAAAATGTATTTTTTTAATTTTAAAAAGTGTCATCTAGTGAGCACATTCGATGTTCTGAATTTCATGAATATTTAGGGAAACAAACGAGATGAGTCTGTGTCACACGGTAAAATTTAATATACTCTCTCATTTCTCTGATTTCTCAATTAACTTCTTAGTAGCAATTCTATGTGTAATAAAATCATAGAAATGACAGCAAACAACTTCATTACATTTGGAAAGTCGATTGCTAGCCAACATTCTTTTTTCCATAAACGAGTATACCTATTCCCAATCGGAAATAGAAATGTGAGTGAAGTTCGCGGGAGAGAAATTGCCATTCGGCTCAATTATCAACAAATTATCCGCGTTTAGTCTCGATATTTAAAATAAATGGTACTTTTTAATGGGATATTCCACGGACGAGGTATTCATTCGCGGCGAAGAGAAATTAGTTGGACTTTCATTATTTCCTGTCTCGGCATGCTGTGGGAAAAGAAAATTAATTTCAATATGCACTTTGTTGCGACACTGCTATTGTTGAAGGATTAGATAAAATGAGAAAGAACGTCATCAAAGCTGATCAAACCCGATCCCGTATACCATAAAACCCACTTGCCACAGATGCTGGGGTAAGTGAGTCAATCTACATGGTTTCATGATTTTTTTGATTCGAAATAATGATGGTAATGATGAATGATTGATGAACACAAACATCCCTGGCTTCTGGGATGTCACATTCATTTCTCACTAGGTAACAATGCGAATTACAAAAAAAACATCATTGGTATCGCCAGGGGAGACGAAATCGTCGCAATATTCATCACGTTTCATAAGATTTGAGACTTAAAATGGAGGTGAATTTGTATTTGTTTGTTCAACCCATTCACGCCCAAAGCCCTTTAAAATGACTTCAAAACGAAACCTATATTTCTCTGATTCAGCTGACGGTTTGAAGATGTCGACAGTGTCACATTATATTTAGTTGTCATATTGAAACGTCAATCGCGATCGTTAGGATTTTCGTTTTGGATCGATAGTGACGGTTAGAGATAGATAGATGGATACCCTTTATTCGTTCATGTGTACAATACATAATACCCAAACTGGTGTAGAAAATGACAATGATATAAATAAATCATAAATATTATAGATAATAGATGAAAGAATAATATAGAAGATGATAAAAGGAGAGAAAAACCCAAAAGGGGAAATATAATAGCTTATATACTAAGATTAAGATACATATTAACAGGTGTTTTTTTGTATTAAGAATTGTTCAAGATGATGCTTCATTTTATTTATTGGCATTTTTAAAGTTTTTC